CAATTCAGAGATATCCCTAGAGAACAACACAAATTCTAGAATTTCTAGATCTGCCAATTATTATGAATATGAAATATCGAAGACCTGCATAAGTTCGTGGTCTCAGATTACCCTATTGGACTTCCCACACTCAATTGGGGAGAGCTGTGGATTGACAAGGTGCTGTAGGAGTATCTGGTAAGAGGACACTAGGTGGGCAGTTGTTGCAATCTAATTTAAGAGAGGGGCCGTACAAAACTAGCGCATTTATCAAAGAACTCAAGTAAACAGGAAGAAATTTGACAACTCGTGTACCATTCGAAGGTTTAAAATCAATACTCATCCGTGCTAGTAATTTGAGGCGTTTGTTGAAGAGTAAGGATTTCCGTTTATTTGATTTTTCAACACCTCGTGGCGTATGCTATAATTCAACTTAAAAAATCAATTCTCATTCTTCACTAGATGAGATTTTATTGATTACTCACACTTATGCTACGAAGCTATTTATAAATTCGATTGACATTTTACACTAGATGTGGTCCTCCTGAATGATAACAAAAATGTTCTTACGTAAGTGCAAGAGGAGACTCCGAAATTCATAGCCGACATGCTGCAAATTCGCATGGGAAGTATCATGCCTGCTCGCAATGAAATGACATGCTGTGATGAATATATATTTATATCAAATGGCAGGCGTTTTGATAGTTATCATTAGCCCTTTGGTTGATTTCAGGCTTCACAGATGGGAAGGAACATCAAAGTGAAAAAGGTCGAGATGGGGGGGGGACAGAAGAGCGTTTCAAAGATGTAAAAAAGACAGACACAAAGTTGGAAAAAAGGTGAGGTGAGTACAGTTGAAGTAGCCGAATTTGACATACAGTGGGGTGATGGTAGCTTGGAGTCTGAAGTCAACTGCCGGTTAGTAGACTTTTTTGCCGTATGGGTATACGTTGCCCAGGATGCACCACGTGGAGGTGTGATGAATATATTGCTTCTCTTAAATATGTTTACGATCTGCCAATGTGCGTTGGAGTGCATTGGTGGACCGATTCTTCATATAACCACACACATATATGCGTAAAGAGAAGCCGGCATGATATGCAGAAATTAATTCATTAAATTTAGAACTAAAAGAAGAATTCCAAGTTTCGACCGATTAATTTAGAAGATATCCTGCTCTGCAAATATTAGGTTGGCAACTATGTCATTGTCGATTTCAAATAAGAAGGCAAATTCGGAATTTTTGTTTAAAAATATAACTTTATTCAATTAGATATTGGCCGTTCTTGTCGATGACCTTTTTCCATCGTTCTGGCAGAGTAAAAATTCCCCGTTCGTAAAATGTCTGGTCTTTGCTATTAAAAAACTGAATTAGGTGTGATCCGACATCATCCGCGTTGTTAACAATTTTACCATTTAAAGAGTTTTGCATGGAACGAAACAAATGGTAATCCGAAGGCGCAAGGTCAGGGCAGGGCTATATGGTGGGTGTGACAAAACATCCCAACCCAGTTCCAATCATTTTTGCCGAGTAACCAAAGATGTGTGGGGCCTTGCGTTAACAGGATGATGGAAAACAACACCCTTCCGATTTGATAATGCCGGCCGCTTATCTTCAATTGCATCCTTCTTTCAGTTTTTCGAGTTGTTCAACATACACATTTGAATTTGTCGTTTGGTTCTGCGGGATGACTTCAAAATGCAAAATTCCTTTGTGATCCCACCACACTGACAGCATCATCTTTTTTTGGTGAATCTCTGCTTTTGATACTGTTTGGGCTGGTTGATCTTGCTTCGCCCATGATCTCTTGCGAGTAACATTGTTATAAACTATCCACTTTTCGTCGCCAGTAACTAGGTTCTTCAGAAATGGATCATTCTCATTCTCATTGCGTTTCGGTAGCAGCGAATCACAGATGCTAATCCGTTGCGTCAAATGAATTTCCTTTAACTGGTGAGGGATCCATAAATCAAGTTTCTTGACATAACCAAGGGTTTTTAATTTTTTTCAATGCATGTATGCGACACATTGAGCTTCTCTGCAATATCTCGTGTTGTGCTGTGACGATTTGAATCGATAATGGCCTTGATATGGGTTTCATCCACTTCGACTGGGCGGCCAGATCGTTGTGAATTTTTCAGTGAAAAATCACCGCAACGAAATCTTTCAAACCAATTTCGACACTGCCTTTCTTTTAAGGCTTCATCTCCATATACGGCACATAACTTCTTTTGTGCTTGCGATGCGTTCTTGCCTTTTCGGAAGTAATACAATAAAATGTGTCGGAAGTGCACGTCCTGTTCTTTCATTTTTAAATTGGGATAAAAACAAAACTAAAGAACTAAACAAAAAAATTTTACTAATTAACCTAGAAGCCCATACAGTAAGAAAAAAATATAGGTTAGATGCTCTGGCTACGTTAACAAAACAAAAGAAAGTGTAGAGTGAATCCGTCAACAAAAACGGCAATGACTTAGTTGCCAACCCAATACTTCCGTCACAACATTTAACCTAGCGATTTTGAGTTGGCTGATAATGAACTCTCTCTAAGTCGTTTGATGAAAAGATTTTCGAATATCGCCACTAACACCAGAAATACGCTCAAATAAAGAATATATGTTGACAAAAGGAAATGGAGATTATTTAGGATCTGTATAAGAACAGTGGGATAAAATTCCACAACAACCTATTTCAGTTCCATTTCGCACTTTCAACAATATTTTCACAGAACCTCGAGATAGTGAAGGAAGCTTGGATAGAGACCAATTATGTTGTAGTTTTCTCTTCTACATCAAAGTATATTAAAATTGATTGGATTCGAAGGTAGTGTTAACCCAATTTGAAACACAACTGGAATAGAATAGAGACGAATCGATTTCCAACTGAGGCGAGAGTAGTCATTGCATGTCTAGTGAACGGTAATTGCTGTTCAGTTCCGGTTAATCAATTTCTTGTTTTCCAGGCTCGTATTTGAGAAGGAAAACTTGGTGCTTCTATGTAGCCAACGCTCTCTGCCTACTCAACACCATTTGAAATATTCAATTCCTCTGTGAAAGAGTTCAAAATGAGATGAAATTCTCTGTCCTCATCTTTATAGGTCGGAGCTACTGAAGTCGCATGCAGTAAATGTTCCTAACACAAACTCATATTCTGAAATCTCCACAACCACCGTTTACACAAAATCAACCAGCCCTTTTTCTTCCAAACCATGGGTGAATCTTTCACTCGTGACCCATTCCATATTAGATATTGTCATTAGCAACTGAAACACTCGCAAGTAAAGAGTAGAATGCATTTTTCTATGGAAGTACATGCTGATATTTTGAAATTCGACATACTTAGAAAGGATCTCAATTTTGGGAAATGTGGTATGAAGTCTACCAATATAAAATCTTTAGGTAAACGAATAGCTGGTCGATGACAGACAGAATCAAATGTCCTCATAGACAATATTATGACCTGATTTAATCAAGACAATTTAATTAGCCATACTACAGAACTTCTACTAAGAACAATTATCATTTGGAATCAATCAAGAAAATACAATTGAGACTTTTTCGATCGATTGTCTCCACCTAAGCTTCTTTTAAATTGCAATTTAATCCACCACTTTCTCACCCATGCCCACTCCATTTCCGTCATACCTAGAAAAGAACTATCCCACATTGTGGCTCGTGTGTTCACTTCTTTACCAAGACCCACGAGCATATCGACTTGTAAGAACTGTGCTCTTCAATCGCCATCCACCTGACTTGCCCCCAAAGCCAACTTAAATGGAGAGTTTTGTCCGATTGAGGAAGAGATATAAACCTAATAGCACACACTGCGCCTAAATGTGAGCCCAATACATGCATAAAATTGGTAGGGTATTTCAACTTCAGTGAGAAATTGAATCAGTTCTTATTGAGAGAGATGAAAATTTCATCTTACCTAAAAATCTTTGGAATTTCTTTAGTGGGTAAGACCTTGTAATAACAGTCATTCACTGAATGAATTGGCGCAGACAGAGCATTTTGAGCCTCCGTTTCATTCGAAAATAAAACGTAACCAACTGGATTGGTGGGTTTCATAGAAATCTGTTCCACAACTCCGAACTTCCTGAAGTATGTTTTCAATTCATCTTCAGATGGAATTGCAGCCGACGTCTTTTTCGTATACCGTTTGCCCAACCGATGAACACGGATACATGGAGTAGTTGCAATCAATTTAGTCGCCTCACTATTCAAGGCTCTAAATGTGAATAAAATTGTGTTGTTAATAGAGAAAATATTGAACTTTCAATCAATGTTTGATTATGACAACCATTTGTTAACCTTTATGGACCATGTCATCTTGGCGCCAAAGCAAATAAGCATTTTTTGACTAGGCCGATTTAAACCAATGCTCAGTGCTGCTTATTCAGCGATACGAATACAATTAGCGTTGACGAATGCTAGTCAATCATAAAGCGGAACAATCAGTTTGGCTCCTGTTAACAAGTGGAGATTAAGAATTCCGTCCACCACTTACCCACTTCCAATTTTCAATTCTCACTTAGTTAACGACGAAAGCCTCAGTCACTAATAAATATTATTTAAACAATATTCTAATACACACAATTTGCATTTCTCCATATGTTTTATGCAAGAGTGAAACTGCGGAAAACAAGCGTGCTTTTAAAAATATACGGCGCAACAACTCATACACCAACTATCTCCTTTCAAGCTGGCTCTACCAACCTAAAAAAAGATATCATTAAAAGTGGAATGATTCTCTTCACTCAAACACTCATAGTAATGTATTCGAACCCACAATTTCTATCTTTTCGCTTGTCATATAGAAAGACAAGGCTGCTAAACGCCTTAAACAAGGTCAGTCACATCAAATTCAACAAATCTCATCTTCTCTCCACCCATCCACTCAGTCAGACCAAGTGACCAAACCCACAGCCATCACCGACTTCGCAATATATATTCGAACTAAATACCACCACAGTTCTCTCAAAACAAGCTAATGCAAACAGCAATTAAGGGATAAACACTCACACTTCATTGGTCGCGAGTTCAGAAGTAAGCAGTGTCACATCATATTGGCCACACAAATCAAGAGATTGTGTTGGTGTTAAACCTCGCGATAATGACGAAGTGAGAGAACTCTCAGAAGAGCTAGCCACATCATTCTTAGACACCCTAAAGTCCTTCTGGTACTTGTTCACAAAGTTCTCAACGTTTAAAGGAACATTGTAGGAAGTTCGTGAGTAACCATTCCTGATTTCCGACGCCGTATTTGAAAGGCGCTTCGACAGGCCACCATTTCGCTTAAGACAAGCCACATCATCAGAGTTAGCATACCACGAGGACACAGTGACCGATGGTCATTTTATTCAATAACCTTACTTCACTCAAAGTAAACAGTCCTGTAATCTCCGTCAATTTAGTGGACATTTTCGGAGACTGATCATTGAGTAGAATTTCCAATGACTCGAGACAAATCTCAGCACGCAAAAGAGCTCCTTCTATTGTTTCTTGAAGGCGTTCTATAGCATCATTCGCATTCTCCCCCTTCATCTCTCCTCGTCGGTCCACGTAATTCTTGTACCTCAACTGCAAATCTAACAGACGACTGAATAAGACCGATGAGTACTAGAAAAGTAGGAAACACAGTAGTCGAGAAATCGATTCTGTGTTGAATGAAATAACTACTAAAGTTGATCCCCACCATAGTTTTGTGTGAAGCAGCACATTCATGGCACAAATAGCGATCACAGTGTTTGCAGAGCTCACAAACATTACAATTTAAACGTTGGCAATTTGGGCAGGAAGATATTTCAACATACTCATTTTTCAGCTTAAAATCGCGAACCTCCTTTCCAATTTTCTCTTCGACCTTTATGTCGTCTATTGGAGAGGCAAAACCGCAAGAACTGCAGTGGATGCTTGCTCCGTCAGTTTGAAAGGACAAAATACAAGGCGAAAGACAAAAGACGTGCCCACAGTCCAAAGAGTGTGGATTGGTGTAGCTAAAAGGAAATGAAAGGAAAAATTTTTGTGCGCCATATCAAAGTTTAAATGCGAGTCATTATAACGCACATAGTTCTGCAATAGACACAGAGAAGGCGTTCAAAATTACTCGAGGATGTAGAAATCATGTCCGCATAATACATAACTATGCAAAAATATTCAGTTAAGTATTAATTTTCAAAATAACATAATCATTAAAATAATAAAGGTTTTATAATGGGAATACTATTAACGATTTCCAATGTTCATACTCTTGAAAGAAGTCAATTAGAAAGCCCCAACCGCATCTTGTACCCTTTCTAATGGCCTTGAAAAGCCAGACTTAAACATTAGGCTACATTAATATCAAGGTGAATAGTTTAAATATTTGTTTTGAAATTCATAAAACCTTATCTCGATTCTGAATGTATTTATTAGTCCTGATACAAAACGATTTTTTGAATAATATTTCATATAGAGTTCATTCTGGGNATAAAACATTTTTTGCGCGGCATATCAAATTTTACATTCGAGTCATTATAACGCACATATTACTGCAATATTCACATGTTATTTGGCCAAAATTACTCCAAGACGCAGAAATCATGCCTGGAAATTACAGAGTTCTGCAATAAACACTCAAAAATTTGTGTGGACCAATAAGTTATGTACAATAAAGTTATATTCAAATGTTATATAATACAACACTTCAAAATAACCAAAATCTAAATCTTTGGAAAAGAGCTTAATATGTTAGTGCAGGCCACAAATTACCACAGGCAAATCTCGTTCACAAATCCGCCAAATCACTAACTCTCAAGGTGAAATTTAAAGATAAATGCCCACTTGACCAAAATTTGTTTTTTCGATTTTGTTCAAACAGTATGTTATGCTGTGGCAAACATAAGATAGAGAACATACTAGTATAATGTTTTTATCTAAACGTCTAAAATCCTCGAATGTATTTTTAAAATTAAATCAGCACATGCTCATGATAAGAAAGCGGAATAATCTCGTTAAAATGATTGTCAGATGAAAACATTAAATCGGAATTCGATACAGAGTTACATTGAAAGTTTACATTTTAGCTATTCGACCTGCAGGTCAAATCGAAAAAAACTCTTTATTTTGATATTTTGAAATGCAATGTTATGTATAAACGTATAAAATCAGTGAACAACTTGGACAAGGTGTTTAGTATATTTTGAATCATTTTAAATGCACTTTAAAGGTAGTTTAACCTCAATTGCACTAGTACAAAACTTATCAGTGCTATTGATTGAACGCATTTGCTGGAGAGTAATTATTTACATTCGTTGAACTTTTGATGGAAGCCAGGATGTGTATTCAGAATTTTCCAACAAGAATGTGCCCATGTACCACTTTGCCTAGATTCTACTCATAAATTCGACTTAAGTTATTTACTAAATGAGATTCTCTTGTGCAGTGAATAGAACAACCCAAATGCAGTGGACTAGGTCGAAATCGATTTATCAATTTCGGATTTTACACAATTGTGCTTGAAAACGCAATTCTGATGCTACTATGTAACCAAACTCTCTCTGTCCACATCACTACATTTGAAATATTTAATTACTCTGTTAATAAGTCCATAAGTGAGATGAGGTTCTCCAACTTCTTCTTCTTCTTCTTCATATGTCTGAACAACTGAAATCACGTGCAAGAATTTTCCCATGTCCCCAGAAGAAACGTTCAGGTTGTTAAGTTATTAAAGTTTTGCTGAAGGGGGTAGATATGAAAGTCCGTCTTTCTCTTAACTCGTTTCATTCTTTAGAGTCAGTACCAACAACTGCATATTCCGATACACTGCCAAACCGTTACGCAAGGAGATCCTTCAAATGTCACATACACTTTGGGAAGTTTTTAAGAACGAGTGACATGAATAAACTTGCCAAGTTGTTGAAAGTGTTCACAGATGACTTGAGTGGATGGAAGGGTAGATGTAGATCAGAGGGGCAGAATTAACACTCACCTATTTAGCAATAGAGTGAAAAAGTAGGTAATATTACAATTTATTCAATATTTCAATGGCCTTTCTATTTTAGGAAGTTTGGTCTAATTGGACAGTATTCGAAGTATTTTTCATCGAAAGGACAAGTTAATATTAAAGGTCATAGACCAACTATTTACTTTGTACATAGGCATCTAACCAATTTGGCACTTTATTTTATGATTATGTGCACCAAACACTGAGTTATTGAAATGACTTCAATGGCTCAGAGCGAAATTCAAAAGGAATATATCCATCAGGGCTGAATCGAATAGGAGAAAGTTGGCATTTATTCCCCCTTCCAAACTTCATGTTTACAATCAGAAATACAACACAGGCGAAAATGTACTCAAGTAATCATAGCATACACCATGAGATATCATAGGTATGGCGCCTGTGACTGGCAATAATTCTATGATGCGACTATCATCTTCTACAAATAATTTCCCAAAACTTGTTATTCATTATTTTTGGCAAGAGTCACAACTCCGACATATTGTTTTAACTTTTGATGCAAAAGAGCTCAAACAATTTGCATGCCCTTGCCGCAAGCAGTGTTTTCTTAAAAACGAATTAGATGAAATTGGGACGAAATGGACCATTTAGATCATCGTGGATGAAAGTGAATTGAGTGGAATTAATATATTAAAAAGTAAATTCATAAAACTCTCATTAGGGTTAGCAGGTTTCTCTATTGAACATATGCTTCCTTAGGTCTTTTATAGCCTTTGATATAAGAAGATGACATTTTAATAGCTTATTTATTGGACAAATAAGGGATTCAAAATCTGTCAGTATTGAGACATCTGGTCGCTCTCTCACTTCATTTACGCAGAAGCTACCTCCTATAGTTCAAAATGTTGTTTATTTAACTTTTTTATTCTTTCCTCTATCATTCCCCACGGTGATTGAACATACTAATTTCTCCTTAGGAAGGCAAATGGTTGCTTGGGGGATACAACCTATCCTGCTAAATGCAAGTACATGATGCTAACTTAGACTCTTTCAATGCCCATTTTCCTCTTTAATGAAAATTCACTACGAAGAAAAATAAGATTCCACCTTTGCTCAGTCTGTTTCATTTACTGCAGAAACCCTAATCACTGCCAAGTTAATTATTTAAAATGCCTAGTGGGTAGACAACAGTGCACCAAATTTGTAGGGTAAAATTTTAACATGGAGTGGATCGCAACTTTTTAAAGCCTGACTGACTCGGAAATCTCTGTGGCAGATTCTCCTACATCTAGCTAGACTCCCGGAACCAGCTAAGCCATAGCCCAGCTATAAAGGAAACAGACATGTAGTACGGAGCACGTTTATTCAGTACGTATCTTGTGAGTAAAGTGTACACACACGGAGCTAATCATTATCAGGATGGCTGATTAGGTTAAACAAACGGAGGCTACTGACTGGCCACTGTCTGTACCGACGCTGTACACAGAGTTGTACGGCCGCACCTCCCAATCCTGGTACGGTCCCTGTACACAGAGTTGTACGGCCGCACCTCCCAATCCTGGCGTGCAGGTATGCGATGACGCAAAAGCGATAACGTGTCCCACAAAAAACACAAGTTCAAAAACTTAAAAATTATGAGATGACCATATTTCGGAATCGTCAAAGATAAGGGTTTTGGGAACTAAGGCGAATAAAGGAGCATAAATTTAAACTAAAACAAGCATATTTTACACGATCTGTGTAGGGAAAGGGGGAGAAATAGACGATTGTCAATAATTTCACAGAAAGAGAATGGGACATATTTTGGAAGAGAGCATGTCAGTCACCCTTTTGTGTTAACTAAGAAAGCAGCACATACACTCACGATGATAATAACGGTGAATATCAAGCTCTCTTATAAATGGCACTTGAAAATTTCATCAGCTCAAAGCCATTCAAAGACGTGCTTGTTAAGAGGTGAAGTAGAGCGAAAGCATCCTAGCTGAGTACAGAATCCAACTCAACAATCAATCATCTGACATATTGCAATTTTCAGCAATTGACAGGATAGTAGGAAAGAAGAGTTGCAACGTTCAAGAGAAAATATATGGAGAGACTCAGAAGTAGTTAAGGTTACCCAGTCTCATCTTGGTCGACTAAGCCCTTAACTGATAGCATAGTATCTAAGTGAGTTTGGATTCAAAATCAGAACACAACACGCACGTTGTTTGTACATGAGCTCAAGAAATACCCATGATAAGGCCAGTAGAGCCAAATTCCAAATTCGGAATTGAAATTGTCGGCTCAAAAACATTAGAACCAAACAATTGAGTTTTTCTTGTGCTACCCAATGCAATGAATGAACAGTCCTTGAGGTCAAGGATACAAACTTGACAACTCTGCACAATTTGCAATATGAAGTGACTTTCCAAACTTCGAATTTAAGACTAAAATGTCGAGATTAAAGTAGACAATCAAAAGACGCTTGCTCTACCGTCTTAAGACTCCAATTTATATGCGAGAAATACTGAAAACTCATAATCACTATGTGTCCATGTAGAAAGATGTATTGGATAAAGTATCAGCAACTCATAAAGAATATAAGTACATAGGTTTAAATTGAAATTCAATGTAGTATATACAACCATTTAGTGATGGCTAAGCAACACAAAACGATGCCATTAGTGCGAATATGGCAAAGAAAGTTGTCTTAAATAATGATATATTAGAGATTCCGAAGTGACATTAGAGGCGCGATTAGGAAAGCATCAATTCGGAGAGTAGCATCAAAAATTGTCACTTGGTTTCTCCTAGATGGCGAGGGAGGGGGGGGGGAGACAGAGAAGGCTTCTAACCCTGTCTTAATGATCAAGAAACTTCGATTTCGAATTCGTTTTCGTAAAAATCTATTTAACGATCATAGAGAATTAAGTGGAGCAAGGTTTGCAGCTAATCTGAATTAAAAAGGAAAATCAAGCAAAGCATTTGTAATCACTTTTGTCTTTAAGTATTAAGGAGATTTTGGATGCCTCATTGATTGTTATCTTGCAACCCATCACTGAATGACCGATCACAGCAAGCGAATTCTTTGCGGAGTTTTTATCGCCAAAGATCACATATCCAGAGGGCGGATCGGAGCACAGTATCACCTCAGCCACTTTACCAAATTGCCGGAAGTATTCCTCAATTTCGTCCATTGTTGGCAGAGCAACTTTCGACTGCTTGACGTGAGCTTGAAAGTAAAGTATTCCTTTCGAAGCCGACTGCTCGGATTCATTGGCAGCGGCAACTCTAAAGTGAATGAACAAAAACTGAGTGAAATCATAAGTAATCATGATGTAGAAGACTCCCAAAATATGTTACAATTGGTACTATTAGGCAAAACTAAACAGTCTATTGAACTCAGGAGGTTTGAAAGGCACGTATTCCTCTGCAATCAGACGAAATAGATCCTAGTTATAAAAACTATTAATAGCAATATAAACGCTGAATCAATCAGTAAAACTATTAGGTGGGCAACTAAGTCATTGCCGTTTTTGTTGACAGATTCACTCTATACTTTCTTTTGTTTTGTTAACGTGGCCAGAGCATCTAACCTATATTTTTTTCTTACTGTATGGGCTTCTAGGTTAATTAGTAAAAATTTTTTTATTGTTTAGTTCTTTAGTTTCGTTTTTATCCCAATTTAAAAATGAAAGAACAGGACGTGCACTTCCGACACATTTTATTGTATTACTTCCGAAAAGGCAAGAACGCATCGCAAGCACAAAAGAAATTATGTGCCGTATATGGAGATGAATCCTTAAAAGAAAGGCAGTGTCGAAATTGGTTTGAAAGATTTCGTTCCGGTGATTTTTCACTGAAAAGTTCACAACGATCTGGCCGCCCAGTCGAAGTGGATGAAACCCATATCAAGGCCATTATCGATTCAAATCGTCACAGCACAACACGAGATATTGCAGAGAAGCTCAATGTGTCGCATACATGCATTGAAAAAAAAATTAAAAACCCTTGGTTATGTCAAGAAACTTGATTTATGGATCCCTCACCAGTTAAAGGAAATTCATTTGACGCAACGGATTAGCATCTGTGATTCGTCGCTACTGAAACGCAATGAGAATGATCCATTTCTGAAGAACCTAGTTACTGGCGACGAAAAGTGGATAGTTTATAACAATGTTACTCGCAAGAGATCATGGGTGAAGCAAGATCAACCAGCCCAAACAGTATCAAAACCAGAGATTCACCAAAAAATGATTATGCTGTCAGTGTGGTGGGACCACAAAGGAATTTTGTATTTTGAACTCATGCCGCAGAACCAAACGATAAATTCAAATGTGAATGTTGAACAACTCGAAAAACTGAAGGATGGAATTGAAGATAAGCGGCCGGCATTATCAAATCGGAAGGGTGTTGTTTTCCATCATCCTGTTAACGCAAGGCCCCACACATCTTTGGTTACTCGGCAAAAATGATTGGAACTGGGTTGGGATGTTTTGTCACACCCACCATATAGCCCTGCCCTGACCTTGCGCCTTCGGATTACCATTTGTTTCGTTCCATGCAAAACTCTTTAAATGGTAAAATTGTTAACAACGCGGATGATGTCGGATCACACCTAATTCAGTTTTTTAATAGCAAAGACCAGACATTTTACGAACGGGGAATTTTTACTCTGCCAGAACGATGGAAAAAGGTCATCGACAAGAACGGCCAATATCTAATTGAATAAAGTTATATTTTTAAACAAAAATTCCGAATTTGCCTTCTTATTTGAAATCGACAATGACTTAGTTGCCAACCTAATAGAATAAGCTTCAATTAAACTGAATGACATTTTGAGCTAAGTTGAGCCAACTTTACTGAAAAGCAGCTCGAGCAAATTGGCGTGGCGAATTTCCCACTCACGAAATGGTTGCAACCGACATTAAAGCGACCTCACTATCCCTCCATCAATTCGGGTGACACCTCTAATGGAATTAGTGACGCATAAATTGTAAAACAGCAGACAGCAACTCTTGAGTAACCATTCAACATTTGCAAAAGAGTGCATGAATTGCAATTAACTCCATTCTACGCCTAATTGTGACCTCTGCGACATCGACTAAAAGGTTTGACATCTTACAATACCATCTGCCAAAGTGTATTCTAAATCGAAATACCACTGCACACTTCCACCACTATACAATTCAGTTTATCGCAACCAACAGGAGTCTGTATTTACCCAATGATATTTTCATATTAGTGTTAGGAAATACATTTTCATTACAAGAACTACGCAATTTATTCCTTACATTTCAGTCCCCAGAATTAGACGAGAAGGAATGACCTCGAAAAAACAATCATTTGCAGACAACGCCTTTTGAACCTTCGCTTGAATCGAAAACAAGACGAATCCATTTTTATTGAAGGATTACATAAAAATTCGTCCCACAATTAGAAAAATTCTGGAAGAATGCTTTTATTACATCTTCAGATGGAATTACAATCGTTGAATACGGAGAACGAGAAGTAGCGACTGACTTGCTCCAGAACACATGACACCAAACGTGGATAAAAGGAAACAGACAGAAGAAGATATATTTAACCACACTTTAAGCATTGATTCTGACAACTAATTGTTTGCACTTAATGATCGTGTCGCCTTTAACTAACACCTTAAGGCAGAACGAACATCCTTCTTCAAATACTTTCCAAAGAACCCTCGAAAAACACCCGAACTCAAACCTCATTTTGGGATGTATTGACAGCACCTAAACTGAGTGCAGAAAAGATACCCGGGATATATTTGGACTTCGATCAGGCCAAAAAGGTGATTTGTCAGACTTCACTCAAACACTCATAGTAATGTATTCGAACCCACAACTTCTATCTTTTCGCTTTTCATATAGAAAGACAAGGCTGCTAAACGCCTTAAACAAGGTCAGTCACATCAATATCAACAAATCTCATCTTCTCTCGATCCATCCACACAGTCAGACCAAGTGACCAAACCCACAGCCATCACCGACTTCGCAATATATATTCGAACTAAATACCACCACAGTTCTCTCAAAACAAGCTAATGCAAACAGCAATTAAGGGATAAACACTCACAATTCATTGGTCGAGAGTTCAGAAGTAAGCAGTGCCACATCAGATTGGCCACACAAATCAAGTGATTGTGTCGGTGTTAAACCTCGCGATAATGACGAGGTGAGAGAACTCTCAGAAGAGCTAGCCACATCATTCTTAGACACCCTAAAGTCCTTCTGGAACTTGTTCACAAAGTTCTGAACGTTTAAAGGAAGATTGTGAGAAGTTCGTGGGTAACCATTCCTGATTTCGGACGCCGTATTTGAAAGACGCTTCGACAGGCCACCATTTCGCTTAAGACAAACCACATCATCATAGTTAGCATATTTTGGGGACACAGTGACTAATGGTCATTTTTATTCAATAACCTTACTTCACTCAAAGCAAACAGTCCTGTAATCTCCGTCAACTTAGTGGACATTTTCGGAGACAGATCATTGAGTAGAATTTCCAATGACTCGAGACAAATCTCAGCACGCAAAAGAGCTCCTTCTATTGTTTCTTGAAGGCGTTCTATAGCATCATTCGCATTCTCCCACTTCATCTCTCCACGTCGGGCCACGTAATTCTTGTACCTCAACTGCAAATCTAACAGACGACTGAATAAGACCGATGAGTACTAGAAAAGTAGGAAACACAGTAGTCGAGAAATCGATTCTGAGTAGAATGAGGTAACTACTAAAGTTGATCCCCACCATAGTTTGGTGTGAAGTAGCACATTCATGGCACAAATAGCGATCACAGTGTTTGCAGAGCTCACAAACATTACAATTTGGACGTTGGCAAGTTGGGCAGGAAGATATTTCAACATACTCATTTTTCAGCTTAAAATCACGAACCTCCTTTCCAATTTTCTCTTCGACCTTTATGCCGTCTATTGGAGAGGCAAAACCGCAAGAACTGCAGTGGATGCTTGCTCCGTCAGTTTGAAAGGACAAAATACAAGGCGAAAGACAAAAGATGTGTCCACAGTCCAAAGAATGTGGATTGGTGTAGCTAAAAGGAAATGAAAGGAAAAATTTTTGTGCGCCATATCAAAGTTTAAATGCGAGTCATTATAACGCACATAGTTCTGCAATAGACACAGAGAAGGCGTTCAAAATTACTCGAGGATGTAGAAATCATGTCCGCATAATACATAACTATGCAAAAATATTCAGTTAAGTATTAATTTTCAAAATAACATAATCATTAAAATAATAAAGGTTTTATAATGGGAATACTATTAACGATTTCCAATGTTCATACTCTTGAAAGAAGTCAATTAGAAAGCCCCAACCGCATCTTGTACCCTTTCTAATGGCCTTGAAAAGCCAGACTTAAACATTAGGCTACATTAATATCAAGGTGAATAGTTTAAATATTTGTTTTGAAATTCATAAAACCTTATCTCGATTCTGAATGTATTTATTAGTCCTGATACAAAACGATTTTTTGAATAATATTTCATATAGAGTTCATTCTGGGTGACTTGCTTGCCTAGATGGATCATTGAATTTCTTTCATATAATAATTTTTGACCTGGTTTATCAAATTTCTATTTATATTACGTATTTTAATCCACTTCGATAACAAATCTTTTCATCAAGCGAAATCTTGGAACTAGTTTCTCTGAAATCTTTAAAATGCTTTATGGACAAAATTCATAATATTTTGATTTGTCGTTTTATAAACTTATCATTTCCTCCTTATTAATCTCAAAAATTCATTCTCTTTCCTTCACTACTCACTTCATTTTATGATTTTGTTTTTTGGCTTGCTTTGATTATCACTCACCATAATTTGCCGGTTTGGGTAAATTGCTCTCCATCTTCTCACATTATTTCGCCTAAATTTCCATATAGTGGTCTGAAAACTCATGTCCTTAACCAGACTATTAGTTTACAAGTTACACGCGAAATCAACCGTCGCTAAATATCCCTCTAATGAGGCTATCGTACATTATTTTGCGAAATTTGGAATAATCAGGAGTCTTATCTTCTCAAATTCCATCGAAGGTCTGGTCGAATTCGAAACAGTTGATGCTGTTAACACGATTATGTCAAGTGGTCAACATTCTATTAATGAGTATGAAGTTGTAATCAACAGCATTCCAGTGAATATTTCCTCTAGAACGTATGGTCAAATTTATCTATTCTTATCATTTCAATATATGATGGCTTACGTTTATATGATTTACTTCATTGTCTAACTTTATTTTACTTTGCTTATATTTGCCAATTCGTTTAACTTGGTTTTAAACGAGTTTTGAGTTTTTCATAGTATTATTACAGTCGGAGAGCATAGTACTTATTCTGTATTAGATCGAAACCTTCGAATTTTTGCCATTTCATTCCAAATAAAATAGCTCAGACTTGTGTATTTGCGACAATAGTTTGCTAGAATTCTCGTTATCACTGGTATTAGCCAAAATTATTTTTTCGATGAGAATATTTAATCTGCTGAAAGTGCTTTATAAGTAATCTTTAAAATAAAGATAAGTTATTTACCCTTGATAGTTTCTGAAGCAGGAAATCATGAAAACGTTCAAAGTTACTAGCTATAAGAAATTTTGGTCGGTTTAGATAAAATGATAATAAGGCAATAGTTATTTGTTACACTTTTCTCATTTTAGTGAACAGGAATTCCAGTATCTACGTTACGAAGTTTGTGAAGTCAATCCTCCAAACGACGAATTCTTGGATCTGAAGCCTGAACTAAAAAAGGCACGCCTCAAGCTGTTTAGCAAGCCACATAGAATTGGTCTTCTTGGATTTAATATCAATAAAGAAGCACAAGTAGCCGCAAAGGTGAAGATACCTGAGCACCAAGGGTGGAGCGTGAAATTGTCAGTAGTGGATGAGAAGGAATAGTAAGCAAGTGGGGCATAAATTTGTTTTATTGATTCTTGTTATTTGTGAAGTGCCCACAATTTTATTTGAGAAAAAACCATTGCTCTTCTATTGAATGTTTTCCATGCTGTTTGAAGTAGGCATATGCATTTTGACGGAATTGTTTCCACCATTGATTTCCTCTTATTTTAAATGATATTGACCTTAAGGTAGAAAAATTTCAGAATACAGCTTTCAAGCTTTAACAATAAACAACTAATTGATTTATTCAGAAATCGCTTGATGAGATTTTCGTTTTGTCTACGACTTATGTTATCCCCTTTATGTCCTGAGATTCGTTGGTTTCTAGGCGGCTATTTTCGTATTCGACCTCTTACATGATATTTTCTGCTCTGTAAAGCTCGTCACTTTCCTTCAAATCTCTTAAAAGTTGCCTTGATTTCACCCAGTTCCGTCCATTGGATTTAGAATTTCTACGTATCTCTTGTCATTATTCTAGAAATTAGTAGATTTCATTCCATTTCTTTTCCTATTCCATACTTAAGTATAACTTTATGGAAAACATGAAAATACAGTTAGTTCGTTCCCTTGTACTACCATAAAGTTTCCTGATGTCTTGAATGCTGTGTTCATAAACTATGTTTTGTCGTTCTGAAATTAGGAACTATTAATTGCACTAAAACCTTGTTATAGAGATGGGAATATATCACTAAACTATATCATTGACTTAGTAATTCACGATCATATGTAGATTCAGAAAACTTACCCGATCTATAAATTTGACTGAAGTTGTGGTGCAGACTTTACTAGGTGTACTCGAGTAAAAACATGACCTTCACTATTTGATTTCGGCTTTATCGATTTGATCAGATTCCCACTGTCACGCCTGGATGTAAGTGGACGAGTTATTGCCACAAATATAAACTAACTAGGCAACCTAGTCACGTGTCACATATCTACTCCTGTGTAAGACATTTCATTTTCTTTTGTATGAACTCCGTTTGAGTAAAAGACCCTCAATCTAGAGTCAGACCATTGGTATATTTGTAAAAATATGCGAATGGGCACCTTACAATATTTGTCATATCAAGTTCTGTCTAATAAATTCAGAATATGTTGTTTTATAAGTATATGAAGCTTGACAGTGGTATTGTAATTTCCAGTCTGACTCGAAGTTCAATAAACAGGATTCATGAAGTGCCATTCAGTTGTTAGAGAAACTGAAAGTGAAGAGTAGATAGGAATCTTGTATTTGATCCCGTTAAGACATTACTAGATTTCCTCTTCTAATCAATGCAAACTTAACAAAACAAAATTGTGCAAAGGAGGAACCACGAATTGAAAATCTTTATTGGGCAGAAATTTTTATAAACAGCAGAAGGTAACCAGCACCTGGCCATCAGAACCAAGGAGAACTAGACAACAGTATTCAAATTCACGAGCTAGATGTGTGTTCTTGCTCATGAGTGAAGACAATAATACAGAGAGATTGATCAAGCGTGACTCGCGTCCACCCAAGAAACGCTTTTACATGAACCCTAATTTATTCCTCTGTAAATTGTGGCGAATTTCTGACTTCCTCGTTACTGTTCTTGGGACGTGAGTGATTTGACTCGATTGCTCAGATACATAACTTTGTGCAACCAAAATAACTTAATCATACGCAATGCAAAATGATCTCGTCATCGTTATACACACATATTGGCTGGAAACGTAGATGGTAGCCACTTCTCAATGCAACACGAGAATCGAGATGGCATTCCACGAAATCTATCCAGATGGTAGTTTGTTGTGACTCGAATTTCACAATCAGGTGGAACTTGGCGGGAATAAGGTAGTAAGACCACGACATTTAAGTCAAAATATGAGGACTAGTAAAGATGAAAATGGCATTTTCCATAAATACATAAAATTCATATTTCGTTATTATTTAGCTCAACCTTTACTGATATATTCAAAATTACACTTGGGCACAAGATGCAATATGTGCAGTATGAAATGTTAAGAAATGAGGAGGCTGAAGAAATTGCCTTGTCCGAACTTTTATGGAAGTTTTTTCAGAAAGAGGATGTTGTTTACGTTCATCCACATACTTCTTCTCTCTGTGGTATTATCGTTCTACCTACAAAAGAGACTGCCGAACAGTATAGAGCCAAGTCTGGAAGCAAAGTAGGTGGTTGGAAAATTGATCTCCATCATGCGGAGTCAGCTTTGATGTAAGTAATTTGACTTTTTATTAGTAGGTGATACATTTCTGCATGTTTAAAGCTTAGAAGGAAGAATAGTCTGTTGGAGTAACAAGAACCAAGATCACTAATTGAGGAGTCAGTGGACCAGACACAGATTTTATAAATCAAGTTCAATTTGGAGCGTTTTGATGTGGTGAGATGATGAAGGAAGGGAGTTGAGGTGAAAGCGTAAAAGCAGTTAATTGACAGGCGCGAGTTCGTGTGTGTGTATGTGAGGGATAAACATTTACCTGCAGATCTGTAGATCCAAAATCGGAGGTATCTTCTCAAATAATGTGGTAATATAGTAGGTTTGGTAACGTGTGTGGAGTCATTTTCAGGGTTGGGGGGTGGATTTTCGTGAAGACAATTGAATTTGGAGTTATGCCCGGTTATTGACTAAATTAATACAATGGTGAGAGATCACCCTCTAAGAGTCGTTTAGCTTTGACCGAATTAAATATTTTTATTTGGCCGCAACTTCAATCCGACAAAGTATTCGCAAGAAAAGATAGAGTAGTTGAATGAAGATTTTCCTTGTCTTCTTCATTCTTCGCATATGAATTAACTGGCATTAAGGCGACTGAAAAGATGCCTAGAAGGCCACCAAGAAGAAACTTATTCATTTCAAAACGAGATGCGAAATCAAGTGGGTTGCTCACGCAATTGGGGAAGAGCAATAATTTTGAGTATTTTAAGAATCGGATTGGAAGCAAGAATAGAGCATAGAGAATATTTTGCCTAATGGGGAAAATGCTTGATTTGTGATAGCACAAAAGGTAAGACCCGAGAACACCGAGAACTTGACGGAGGTGAGGGTTGGGAACTACACTAGAGTGAAAAATAGGTACACTAAAAATTGTGGAGATAAAATAGCCAAATATTACTTTTCAGGAGATACTGAATGTGGTTTCGGATCTAGGTTTGCTTAAATTTTAAATTTGATTAACCTTTTTAACAGCATTTATGTCTCTCGATCAAGTGTTTAGACATTGATCCAACTAACGTCAATTTGTATTCATTTCCAACATTATATTTGGAATTGAAAGAAAGGCTTGAATTATTGCATCAGTGTGAAAAATTTATAAATGCACTATTTGCAATGAAATTGACGAATCTACCGTTTGTCGCACAAACACACACACTTAGTCTTTGTTTTTTCTATTTTGCAGCAGAGTAACTCCAGAGACTGAGAAAAGGGTTGAAATTTCCTGTGCTGAAGCAGATACACAGTGGGTTATTTTATTAAACATTATTTCAAGTCGCTGTCCTTTAAATTTTTTACTCATTTAAATGAACAAAATCGAAGGTGCTCAAATATCTAGTAGGTTCAATTACCCGTAGTGTTAAGAGTTGGCTGTAATTTGAATCGGGCAATCAGATTTCCCATATGAGAACGATCTGTGGGAAATTACAATTGAGAAATCAGATAATATGAAGATCGTGTAGCTCAAATAGATTCCCTGATTATCACTCATGTCGCCCCCCCCCTCCCCCCCCCCTTTGGTTTCTACAGTATTTAGATGGTTTCTATGTTAAAAATTTCATTAACTTTTGGTTTACTGTTGATACTAATAAAGTGTGTTTTATAAGTTTTAAAGGCTAAATAAAAGTTTCTTTGGTTTGCCAACTATAAATATGCGTAGTGAAGTATCCTTTTGGTTTTATTTCAAGGGTAACTGTAACTTTCGCAAACAATTTATCTTCTTCTTCTTAATTATTTGATGCATTCTTGAAGAACTGATTATACGAAACAACCATATCTGGTATCAAGTAATATTTCATAGTCATTCCTTAGATTGTGCGATACAGTTGCATACAATTGGTCGATCGTTTAGTTTATATTAACTTGTTGACAGTTGTGGGACCGTAAGGGTTGGCTTCTTGTCTGGGTAAATATGAATCAAATAGCAATTTTAGATACTTAAGAATAATTTATTTGTTTATAACCCCCCCCCCCCCCAATAAATCACTTATATGATTTAATTTAAGCGTTAACTTTCAGAGCCAATTTAAATAACAGTGACTCACTGATAATTATCGATTAATATCAATTTTCTACCTACCGCTTAGTAAGCTTCGTTTACCCTGTATTTAAATAGATTTCCTTAAAGTCACTTATCGATTGGCTTTAGTCCTTTAACCATCGCTCCCTCGATGCATTCAGGTTAAATCGTAAAAGGTGGAAGCGCTTTAATTTCAATGAGAGACAGTGAATATCAATTAATTGCAGTCGATTTGGAAATAGCCGACTAACCTCACCAATTTTAGACTATTTGATCTATATAAGTAAATCTATGTGCCCCCTGCTATGGAATGAAAAAATGTAATGCCGTTTTCAAGTTACAGTTACCATTTTCAATGTGGTCCTTTATTGAGCTTATTCTACGATACGCCCCTTGCCATCCTTCCTTTTTGAATTGTTTTTTTAAGAGATCCGTCACAAACTGAAAGCAGTATTGCAAAATTAGTAGCTGAGTGCTCTTCTTCTGGACAAGATGAACCGTAAGATAATAGTTTTTTTTCAATAGAAATCTTTAATTCCTAGTTAATATTTTTGTTATCAATTAATATTTTATTCAATTCTCTCAGGGTTAGAAGTAAATCAACGAATTCCTCAACTACACAAAGCAGATTGTAAGCAAGTTAACCTATTATTTATTTGAAAGTTTCTTTTTATTCCTCATGATATGTTTTAATCGAATTCAAATGATATTGAGTAAATGAAGCTGCCTAGGTAATAGAAGATTTGGTCTTTGAAGGGAGTGTTCGCCAAGAAATTTATTGTTGTTCTGCCAGTTAAACTGGTGTATGAGACACACAGTAATCCGACAAAGACTAACCAGATGCAAAAATCCTTCTCGACTGATAAAACCAAGATTTGAGTTAGAAAAAAACGTGTATGAGTGAATGCTCGAGGAGAAGGTGATGGTTTAGGAAGAAATATTAAACCGAAAGAGGAAGGTGGCATAACTGAATGAGGACAGCAGGGGAAGTAAGACGACATGACGTGAAGTACATAAAGCGGTAGCATAAGGGCAGATTTATCCCATATCATAATTTAAAAGTTTAAAAATGCTTTAAGAAATCTTTATTGACTAGTGCTTATTACATCATAATTCTAATTTAGCAATTATCCTATTGGTAAAGGTACTTTAGGCGCCAACCACGTAAGGCTTAAAATCCTTTTCAACTATTAATGCGATTCCCAGGTCAAATAATGCCTTGTTACTCTTTCTGATTACAAAAATCAAAATTTAAGTAGGACCAAGCACATTTTGCAGAATTGAAATGAACAAATGGGAAAAAATAAGCGTGGAAATTAATTGGAATAACTTCATCAATGAGAGATCTAGTTTATAACCCGCAAGTGAAATATGGTACTATAAGGAGGGTTAACCTAAGTCACTGCTTAGCAGCCGACAGTTGGAGTAAGTGGGTTCACGCAATTAGAGGTTGAGCAGACCTGTGAATCGGTGTGCGCAGGTGCAAGACTTCCCTTTACACAGCTGTTATTACCGCTAAATAAGCCGTAACATTGTAATATATTATTGATATAATCAACGGTTCGTATGTAGATCTCTGTCAGTTTGATTTACGGAGTATTGCATTATTTACGTATCCGATTAACCAAAATCCGCAATTAATAGGACGGTGACACGCGCACAATAGCAAACAAATCGTGTTGGCATAAAAAGTTCAACAACGGAGTGGTAAATAAAGAGGTATATGCTGTGCAGCAGTGAGTAAGCATTTATTGACCGGAGTCCGGAACATGAACACAAATCGATAGATCTTCATTTTATACTATAAGTCTTGCTGCGTTTAGCATCATTTCGTATTTCAATTCGATTAGACTATCTACCGAAAAAGCTACGTATTATTTTAAACTAAGGGGAAATATTTTTAGAACCTGTAGAATGGACGTGTTTGAATATTAAGAAACCTATGGCATGCTTTTCACCAAATGGAAAAGAAATTAGTTTCAATTCTACTTATCATTCTTATAAGATTCGGTTTCTCTAATCACTATTCCACACAATATATCTATTTCCTATAAATCAATTCATAAAATTTTCATATCTATTTCCAGGCATTCCCAAACTAAGGATTGGACAATCATGTCAATTAGCAGATTAATTGTTTACAAGATGACCAGTGAATCACCCAATGCTAAAATTCCTTCGAAAGAGGCCATTGCGGATTACTTTAAAGTTTTTGGAGAGATTAAACGAATAATCTCCACAAATACCAGCCAAGGTCTAATTGAATTCGAAACCACTGAATCTGTAAGGAAAGTTATGTTACAACCGAAACATGAGATCAAAGATTTCACTATTGGTATTGAAAGTATTCCGGTGCATTCGCGTTTCAAAAGGTATGATTATCCCTATTCTCCACCATTATCATATACAATTTTTAGTATTACTGTCCACGGCACAGCGCAACAGTTCCACTTGTCAATGGCGAGCATAAGAGTAAAGGAACAGAAGCTAAAGAGGGAAAGAGTTGGAAATAAATAGCAAGTTAGGCAAAGTTATCAGAAATTTTTTGAGCATTCTCACTTAGTGATGCGTTCACATTAAGCCCCCATCTTTTGACTCCCAGATTCACAGATGAGATAATGTTCCCAATATTCCAATCCTTTGATTTATTCAACAATTCAAATGATTGTTCACGCTAAACCCGATTCATTTACATTTTCTTTTGTCCAAGATCGAAAGAAAGGAATATGTGAAACTTTTGAGATGAAATATGATCTGAAATATAGCTCACTATATTTATGCGGACAACTTTTGGTGAAATATATTGTCATTTAGCCTTGTCAAATTCTGTAGGCAAAGCAATACACTTGAAAGTGTTATTCCAAGAAAACCCATTATACGCGTGAGTTAAATCGCAAAATCTTTTGCCAATCAAATGGGTCATTACTATTGACAGCAGATACATTATTAAAGATTTTGGTTTTAACCAATAAAATTAGGACATTTAACCTGGTAAAGGAGGCTTCTAAATAAGTAATTCTGATTGTTTCCACAAATGTTATTAATATATGCCAAACAAGTCATAGAAATAAAGCGTCTAAAACTTGTCCCCATTTTATATTTTTATGACAGTGAACCTAATTTTCAATATATGCGTTTTTACCTTTCTGAAATGGATAATCCAAATGAAATGTTCATGGATCGGATTCCTCAATTAAAACGTGCACAAGCCAAATTTTTCAATGAGTCACAGCGGATCGGAATTCTCGGATACACTATCTTTAAAAATGTAAAAGATGCCCTAAATTTGAAAACTCTATTTTACGAAAAGTGGAAATTGGAATTGTCTTTATTGGAAAGAGAAGAATAGTAAGTTGCTTGATTATTCCTGATCTCATGTTTGAATAGTACTTCCTGCGAATGTCTTCCCATGGCCCAAATAAGTGTGTTTTAAATTGCGTTGGCATTTGTTGATTAATTTAATTTTTTGTTGTAAAAGGATGAGTGATCTCCAAGCCTTCAATTACCCCGCAAGCATTTATCTTATATTTTTTAATACCGATAGACAATAAAATGGGGGCGGTGAAAAACTTTTGTTTGAGAAGAGGTAATGAAATAAAAACGAAAGAAAATCTCAAGGGTTTAAATAAGAGTTCGTTGTTGAGGAGGTAGTACGAGTGTGTACAGAGTTGCCTATATATATGTTGAAGAAAAAGTGGATCTACACCGCCCTTTAATACGTCAGATCATATTACTGAGAATGATTCTAACGAGCCCAAGAAACAGATACTTTAAAGATGAGGAGAAAGTAGCCATCTTCGCCTCAAAAGAAGCTACAATCCTGATCCTAACACTCTTGGTGTCGACAATCCATGCCAACACCCTCTTAGGGGAAATTTAGACAGTCCAGGAAAATATTGGGGCGATACGCAACATTAAGACAAAAATTCTTTAAACCTCATATACATCATGCATAGTCATAAGTGTAATCTAGAGGAGTTAGCACAAAGTAATTTTCCCAAAATCAATCAAAATAGAACAAATCCCCTTTTGAGATATGTGGACTACTTTTTACACCGTTTTACAGACAATGAATTTTTTAAAATTTATTTACTTGTTTCCAGCCCCAAGTTTGCTGAACTCTTCAACACAACTCTTGGAGACTATATGAGATACGTGAAATATAAAATTTCAAAAGTTGAAACAGCCGATGGGCAGAAGGACATTCTATGGACATTTCTTCGAGAGGAGGATGTTATTTACATTTATCCAAATTCTTGTTCACCCTATGGCACTATTGTTGTTGCAAATGAAAGGATTGCTGAAAAATTCAAATCCATGTCCGGAAGCGTGAAGAAAGGATGGCGGATTGACCTACTTCTCATTAATCCAGTTACAGTGTAAGTGAGCCATTTCATCATTTTATGTGAGTAAATAACTTGCATATGGCATGCATATATGTTTTCCTTTTGGACGAAAATATTGAGATAATATACCAGTTTTACACTGTTCAGTATTAAAATTAATTTATATAAATTATATTTTTAAGGAAGGTGATGTGTTGTGGGAAGTGTAAATTTATCGTAGGACTTATTCACATGGCGGCTTATTAACAAAGGTTGTAAATGGCTGTGAGATAGAAAGGCGGAGCAGGGAAAAATAGCGACCAAAATTTAGAGATGCAGTCATCTTGCTATAATGAACACTTTTCTTCTTAGGCAGCATGAGGTGTGTGTATTAAGTCCTGGTCCAAGTATACCACACACACAGATATCAGTCTGGCTGCAAAGTTTGCTAGACTATTCGTATTGCAAACATTTCAATACAGATGTTTTGGCGCGGTTTTATGACAACATTGCATTCCACTATCCCCCCTAGCTAATCAGAACAAAAATCACAATGTGCGATAATAAGCGCCACTGTCATAACCTCCGCGACTCGTGCTTTCATGAAATAAATGGAAAATTTCTGTTGGTTCTGTCCTATTTTATTGCTTAAACGCTTCCCACGCATGGTGAATGCGTGTAGATTCTCACCAAAATAAACGCCTTGAAAGTGTATAACCTCCATCGTCAATGCCTTGTTGGGTAACAGTTATCCGAAGCTCAGCTTTCATTTCCTCACTTTGATAATTTTGACAAATTTACCTTGTTATTTAAAAACAGGAAATTATTTTCAAGTGATTTTGCATTTTTTCTTATATTTTTTTTCAAACAGTGGTGACCCTCCGGAAACCAAGACAAGTCAATCACAAACTCCTGAAAAGCCCTCTCCTGAAAAAAGTGTAAAGTAAGTCATTAATTTTCGGCATCATTGCCACCTCCTTCTTGTGACTTCTGCATCTACCCCCCCCCCCCCAATCGATTATATAAAATAAGGCAAAATTATCTCTCGGATTTTCGTTAAGTCCACACCGCATTTCAGGGCAAGAATAAGTTTGCTGATGATATTCTTGTAGGCATGTCAGCTTATTAATTAAGGCCGAAATGCATTGTGACAATTGGACGAGCAAATGCTCCGCTTTTCCAAAGAGACGTAGTTAAGTGGAAGGGTGGGGCGATGGGGTCCATGGTAATTTGAAATCAGGGAACCTTTGAAAAATGTTTCCAAGCTGCTAGCACGCAGCCTAATATTAGTATTAAGAATGGCATTCTAATATGTACTCTCAAAATATTTTTGCTTTATACAAGAAACGGGTAACCCGAAAATTCGGAATCCATGGTCCCCCTTGTCATTCAGCATCCCGCTATGCAAAACCCCATCATTATATATTTTTCAACCTTATAACCCATGCCATAATCCATTTTTCGTATTACCAGACTCTCCTTCACTCTGATAAAGCAAAGCACACCAATAAATAAGTAAGCTCGCTCTAAAATAATTACCATAGGAGGTAAAAAATAATCAATAAAGTTGGTTATAAGAATATGAAATTGTCGTAGTGCAAAATACTGTCTTAATTTAGAAGTCCATCTGCTGCGAGTCCACGGAGTACATCTTCGAGTTCCGCAAAGTGAGTTTGTTTAACTTCTTCTGTTTTGGATTTTAAAATAATTCGGTTTGCTAAATCCTTATTTTCAAATTCATTCGAGATTTGTTCTTTATAACAACCCTGTCTAATTGCCGTGTTTTATTATTAGCCTCAATATTGGTACAGTCTATTTTGAAATTATTCTATTATTGCATTTATTTTTCTGATCGTTATGGCCTGAAAGCTTCAAGTCGTCAACAGGTAAACTGGAATGTCAATAATAATCCCGTTATTAATTAGGGTGAAGAAAGGAAATCAATCACCTAAAGTTTTTACACAATATCTACTTAAGTAGGGGGAGAGGATGAGGGATTTTAACGAGATTCTGTCAAAAAACTGCAAATCTTCTTTTGTTGGTGAAAAGACTTGCAAACCATCTTGTGGTCTTTACTTCTTTTGCCATTCATGAGATGGCTATTCCATTAGCCCCCCCCCTTTAGTGGTTAACTTTTCTACACCTGTCAAAGCTCATAAAACAGCAAAGATCCAAAAGCTAACTTCAGTAGTCTGATCAGCTTTTTTCTTATTTCAATTTTGTTTTAAAAATAGGACCTCAAATACCTCAGTCCAACGCAGACTTCCTTCACTCCCACGTGTTTCTCCGTAAGAATTTTAGAATTATAATCTTTCCCTATTTATTTATCGTTACTTTTATAATATTTTGATAGAAAAAATGTAGTTTTTTGGTAGATCTTCAATATTATTCAATAACACTAAGAACTGATTGTTGAACTAGCTGTACTAGAGATCTTTGTTGAAAACATTGTAAGGAATAAGATAGAATAGGTTTTAGTTTCATTCACGATAGAATAAAAATAGTCTAAAATGTGTAATTTTAGAAGCAATGAACATTAAGTAATAAATTCTACGTGCATTCTTTCCGAGTTTAGTGGGTCAACAACACACACATCGATCTTTTCCCTAAAGAAGGCCTTATTTCTTCTTTGTTGGTTAAATTGTGACAAAAGTTAATTTCACTTAAATTCATATTCATGTCAATAAAAAATTGTTACGTATGAGGCTGATATTTGGAGACAGAATATTGTTCATGGCATTCCCTTGTTAAATTTATCGCTTTTAGCATGTGTTTGCACTTTTGCCTTCAAATGTCAGCTTAAAACCTCAAAACTTCTTTTGCCGCTTTGACGTAGATTGATACTTAAATGGTGCAAAAAAACGATTTTGTTTACTTTTCTATAATATTTATATATATATATATATATATTTTATTAAGTGTGAAGCGAAGAATTTCCGACTCCGTCCAATCTAGCCACCGTGCACGTAAATCACCACAAACGTACGTTGTTTGTTAAATTTTTTCCTGCAGCATGCCAACACAACGGCTTTTACTCAAGATTGGTCGTAATTGCAAGGCTATTGCAACCAACACCATCACTCCAAGCCCACTTCCAACCAACCAACCAACCTAGTTATTTAAGCCTAGTGGAATTCTCAACTTTTTCATTAAACGCTAGAATGCGAACACAATGAGACTTTTCGTCTCAAAATATACGACGGTACAATAAAGGGCAACCAATTTCGAGTTAAACAAATAATGTAAAATATCATTTCGAAGAAACAATGAGTTGAGAAGAAAGATGACTTGAGATATGCTGCTCTTTAGATTTAGATTTCTGTAATGCCTCTCTGTTCTGCACAACGTTAGATGATATTTTCTGTAACGGAGCTTTGTGAACTATCAGACACGTCCACTAGTCATTATCTCTGATGGAAAGCGTTAATGCAAGTCGATTGTTGTAAATAGAAGATGCTGCTTTTCGGTTACACAGATACACGATTTCCAGCCATGTTGAGCTGAAATTCAAAGACGTTTGATCAGTGGGATGCAAACATACCAATAAATTTTATTCCTTTTTTAATGACTTTCTGCTTGCTTTCTCTATTATAAAATACTTTGCTAAATGGTGCTTACAAAGCATTCGCTCATTTTTTCTAAAGGCGTAATGATGACCCCCGTGGAATGAATCGTCTTAAACTAACACAGTCTCGAAGTTCCAGGTAAGTGAAAGGAATACTTTTCTTTGAAAGTGACAGAGACCTAATTGGCTAATATTCTAATATTTATTGCATATGCGTTTGAAATTTAAATCCTCCATCAGGCCGATTATATATCCATGCAACTAGAAAAATACATTTTCTACATTTATAGCAACATATTTCACACATTACCTTCTTCATGAACCCATTCATGAAACTCTACATAAACGATTAGTTTATAGGGGCAAGATACTACTGATACAGTTAGGAGCTCGCTCACGATAAACTCGAGGTATCAGATGAAACACATGTAGAGGAATCAATTTGAAATTAAAGATAAGGTTGTAATAGGAGGAATTATTTGCTAGAAAGAAACAGTGTATCCTTTCTACTTGACTATCAAGCTTGTCTAAATATAGTGATCGTCATTTTTACGTACTGCTTCGGATGAGGCTCTTAAAGGTCTGGAAGGGCGAATGCGCAACACGCTATTGTCATTATATTTTATCGATTAACTATTTTCATTGCTTCTTCAATTGGTAAACCGTTATTTATTGTCTAAGGAGTGAAACGGATGCCAAACGAATAGAAAATGTTGAATCGCCACCTGATGAAATGTCCTCAAAAAGCCGAGATAAATTCGTTCCCAAATTGGCTTCTGATCGGTAAGAGCCCATGTCTTTGCTTCGCCATTTGTTATGGTCTCCTGCCTCATGTTCCACTTCAATTCATCACCGGACATTCCAAATTGAAAGCGTTAACAATCATTGAAGTAGTCTTTTGAGTAAAACTACACCCTTCACGGTTATTCGAGATTCAATAAACTATTCATTTAGCAGATAGTGGACAGAATGTTGAATGCTAAAAAAATCTATTGGAGTAGATCTGAATTGTAAAACTTTTATTGTGCAAAGTTCATTTATATGTATCCTTGTAAAATGCACACTTGTAATGATAAGCGCACATTGTTGAAAATCTTTGGAATGGCCTCTTTCCTAGTTCACCATGGTTTGTAAATGGCAACACAGAGCATCCCTGTGAGTGGAATTTAGATTCGATCGCCTTCTACACCAGTGCTCACCAAGTGTGCAACGTTATCCAATGGACCCATTCTGCCAATGCACTTACTACCTCATGTGTTTACGACAATGCAATAATGTTTTCTCCAAAATTGCACGCTTTTCTTAGTTTTATGCTGTTGTTGTGTTTTTCATTCTCAACAAACAACGCATGATAGTCCCTTTTAATTTCCGCCTTAACATAATGTTTTTATATCTTCAAAGTGAGAAAGAAACTTCCCAGAAAGCCGAGAGTTCCAGAACATCGGAAACCGAATATTCTTTTGAAGATAAAAGTGAGGAGTAAGTGAATTGTTCCCTCTTTTAATTCAGGACATTCAATCCACAATTACACTCCTTCTTGGTTAATTTCTGATCTTGAACTCATTACTTTGCGACAATATCTTTACTTGCACTATTTCTTAACATTAATGAAATTTTAATTGCTTGAAAGTGTTGAGAAGAATGTGTTGCATCCGGAGAGAAGTGAACAACAATTTGGCAAATCTTCACTAGAGGAGAGTGGAATGTGAGTGAATAATTTGTCTTGTTTTCTTCCCTCGTTTTTCAATGATCTTGAATGTTGGTGGAATGGATTTGACGTGTTTTTGTAGTACTTACTTTACCAAATGTTGACATACTTCATTGATTTGTGACCTGTGTGTCTGTGTGATGAGTGCGGTGACCATAGGAGGCATAGCAATAAGTGTGCCAAGTGATTAATTGAATTGAAATATCTCATTCGAAAGAGTCTGTCACAAGCTCTTGAAATTCCAATTATATGTTAAGCGTTGGTTCGAGTTGTGCAGTGTAGGTGAGTCAAGTTAGGCGCATTGTAGTTCGCTCGTGTACATTAAGTGATGATCTTGATTCCGATCAAGAGGTGACGTGGAAGAGTTCATGTTTCTCGTAAAAGTGACTTCGGAGAGCAAATGCTTTATCTCAGGCCTTTGAAAATGAATTTTGTATACGAAATAGGCGTGGAAATATGATAAAAGAGATACGCAATATGTGAATATTTCATGTCGTGTAATTATTGAGCACTTTAGGTATGCACTGCTCAGGTTAGCCATTACTTTCTAAGAATTCATTTCGAATGCTTCTATAATTAAAATGATCTAATTTTTCACTCATTAATGCATTCAAAATTCTAGCATTGAAGTATTCTAAATGAACTGCCTACTTTTAATCAGTCTTTGTTTATTTGAAGTGCGGAGGAACATATGGAGCAACAAAATGACAGTGAACATCTTGAACACGAGAAACGTCTTGATGAGGAAATTGAAAAGTAAATGAGTTATTTCAATCCATTTTTGTGAGCTTTGTCATAATATGAAAATTTTATTGAATTATTCTGATTGTGTCAATAAGTAAGAGTTTTGCCCTAGAAGTTATTTAACCTAAACATTTATTCAAAGATAATAAGATAATACACACTGTTCTTGTTCATTGAAAGTTCCGAGAAAAGTGAAGAACAATTTGAAATATGCGAACAAGGGCAAACCAAGACCTCTTCTGCTGTGGAAATTAAAATGTAGGCTAATTCTTATAAAATATGTCTTGTGTAAAGGTGCATATTTGAGTTATCGGCTAGTACCGTCATAATTGATTATTTTTATTAAGTACTTTAATCAAAACTTATTCATTTAAAATTGAAATAAATTAAGTTTCTGTTTATTATTGCAAGTGTTGGTGAGAATCTTCACCACCATGAAGATTATGAGCAACAGCAAATGGACAGATCTTCTGACGAAGCTGGTAAAATGTAATTAAATATTTTATTATCCAGCTATTACAACTTTGCGAATGTTTGGTCAAATTAATCGAAAAAATGCAATTATTGAATTGTATGAAAAGATGGAGTAGATAAGAAACCACTTGCCTAATTCATTTTGTAGAACGGAGGATATTCCTGAGGGCATTGAAGGTGATGAAACTCAGCAAAGTGAAAATGCTTTCTCGGAAGACATTGAAAGGTAATGAATTGATTGGTATCTCCTTGTAAACCATATTTGCTAATATCATTACTATAAGAGACTTTTACATGTAATGAAATGTGGTTCAGTAGTTTTTAATTTTTATATTCCGATTATTGCCGATTTTCATAATAGTTATTATCAGTGTATTTTGTATTATTAAATAACCTTGCGATCGATAAATAAGACAGCGACAATGGATTGACCAACTTGCGCGTATGTTATAAAGGTAGGGACTAAAATATTTAAAGTTTCTTGATCTGAACTCAATTATATTGACTATTATTATTGGTTAAATTTATATGTGGTTCATTTTTTCGCTCAACTTTCCTCCCGAGAAATTTTAGTCAAGTGGATTTCGCCTTTTGATTTGCGCCGTCGTTCTGCAACGTTGCTTAAATCGATAGAATGCTATCATAGTGAGACATTTTTTCTAAAATATTGTTTCATCGCAAATTACGACATCTAAATTTGAGTTATGCAGGCATATGTAGCATTCAGAAGATATGGCCGAATTGAGAAGAGAAGTAAAATGAGAAACGTGTGTTAAGATCTAAATTTTTGCATAGTTTCAATTGTGATAGGTGCCCCTCTGACTTGCACGTCGTTAGATGATATTTTTCTGTAACATATTACTGTGAACCATCAATCACGTCTACTAGTCAACGTCTCTGAGTAATGTTTAAAAGCAACTGAATCTGTCGAGAATCGGTAATGAAATTTGATTGATGTCCATCGCAGATGCCATTTTTCATGTGCTTAGATGCTCGCCTTCGAGTCCTATTGTGGTGAGGCTCAAGAGAGTTCGAGGATTGGAGTGCAAACATTTCGCCAAATTTAATTCCCTTAATTATAAATTTCAGTGTGCGTTCTGCTTCAAAAAATTACTTTGCAAAATGGTCTCCATACAAAGCACTTGCCCATTTGTTCGGAAAGCGAAATGATGTCCCTCGTGGAATGAAATGCAGTGAATTATTACGAGTTAAACATTGATCATTAGTGAAATGAATATGTTTCCTTAAAAGTGACAGTGCTCTAGTTGTCTAATGTGCTACAATTTGGTTGATATGCATAAGAAGCGTCAATCCTACATGGAGTCACTCATATATATTTATTCACACGGATAGTGAAGTTTATGACATCTATAAAAACGCTTTTCATGCAGTTTCCTCCTCCTGGAAGCATTCTCGATTCTCGTCCTCTATGTACGTATTTTATTATCCGATAGTACTGCTATCGTTACGAGTTCGCTCAAGCTCAACTTGAAGCAGAAGAAGCCTTGCGTGTTTGTATGCATTCTGTACTCTTCATACAAAGATGATGAAGAGGAAATAATTTAAGCGAAGTTAAACAAAATTGTTAAAAAAGATTTATGTGAAGGGAGGAATATCTGGTTGGTATAAATGTTGCCTTCTTCCTCCTTGACTATCAAGCTTGTCTAAACGTATCGATCATCATTTTTTCGCTTTGGTGTTGATGAGGTTCTTGAAGCTTTGGAAGGGCGAATGCACGACACGCCATTGTCATTATATTTTATCGATTAACTATTTTCATTGCTTCTTCAATTGGTAAACTGTCATTTATTGTCTAAGGAGTGAAACGGATGCCAAACGAATAGAAAATGTTGAATCGCCACCTGATGAAATGTCCTCAAAAAGCCGAGATAAATTCGTTCCCACATTGGCTTCTGAGTGTTAAGAGTCCATGTCGTTTCTTTGCCATTTGTTATGGTCCACGGCCTTATATTCCACTTCGATTCATCTCCGAGAATTCCAAATTGAAGGAGTAAACAATCGTTGAAGTATTCACTTGAGTAAAGCTATACTCTTCACGGTTATTCAAGATTCAATGAATTAATCATTTAGTAGATGTTAGACAGAATAATGAATGCTAAAAAAGACGTAATGGGGTAGACCTGAATTGTAAAACTTTTATTGTGCAAAGTCCATTTACGTGTATCCTTGTAAAATGCACACTTGTAATGAGAAGCGCACATTGTTGAAAATCTTTGGAATAGCCTCTTTCCTTGATCACCATGGTTTGTAAATGGCAACACAGAGCATCCCTGTGAGTGGAATTTAGATTCGATCGCCTTCTACACCAGTGCTCACCAAGTGTGCAACGTTATCCAATGGACCCATTCTGCCAATACACTTGCTATCTCGCGTGTTTACGTCAATGTAATAATGTTTTTCCAAAATTGCTCACTTTTCTTAGTTTTTTGCAGTGGTTGTGCTTTTCATTCTAGACAAACAACGCACAATAGCCTATTTTAATTGCTGCCTAAACATAATGTTTTTATATCTTCAAAGTGAGAAAGAAACTTCCCAGAAAGCCGAGAGTTCCAGAACATCGGAAACCGAATATTCTTCTGAAGATGAAAGTGAGGAGTGAGTAAATTGTTCCCTCTTTTAATTCAGGACATTCAATCCACAATTACACTCCTTCTTGGTTAATTTCTGATCTTAAACTCATCATTTTACGAAAATATCTATTCTTGCACTATTTCTTACCATTAATGAAATTTTGATTGCTTGAAAGTGTTGAGAAAAATGTGTTGCATCCGGAGAGAAGTGAACAACAATTTGGCAAATCTTCATCAGAGGAGAGTGGAATGTGAGTGAATACTTTGTCTTGTTTTTCTTCCCTCGTTTTTCAATCATCTTGAATGTTGGTGGAATAGATTTGGACGTTTTTTGAAGTACCAAATGTTAATGGTTTGTGACCTATGATTAAAAGAGTCTGTCACTTGCTCATGAAAATTCGTTGGTTCGAGTTGTGCAGTGTAGGTGAGTCAAGTTAGGCGTATTGTAGTTCGCTCGTGTACATTAAGTGATGATCTTGATTCCGATCAAGAGGTGACGTGGAAGAGTTCACGTTTCTCGTAAAAGTGACTTCGGAGAGCAAATGCTTTATCTCATAGCTTTGAAAATGAATGTTTTATTCGAAATAGGCGTGGAAATATGATAAAAGAGATACGCAATATGTGAATATTTCATGTCGTGTAATTATTGAGCACTTTAGGTATGCACTGTTCAGGTTAGCCATTACTTTCTAAGAATTCATTTTGAATGCTTCTATAATTAAAGCCATTTTCATTTTCACTCAGTAATGCACTTAAATTTCTACCATTTAAGTAATCTAAATGAATTGCCTACTTTTAATCAGTCTTTGTTTATTTGAAGTGCGGAGGAACATATGGAGCAACAAAACGACGGTGAACACCTTGAACACGAGAAACGCCTTGAAGAGGAAATTGAAAAGTAAATGAGTTATTTATAATCCACTTTTTTGAATATCCTACCATAATATGACAATTTTATTGAACTATTCTGATTGTGTCAATTATTAAGAGTTTTGGCATAGAAGTTATTTAACCTTTACTTAAAACTTATTCATTAAAATTGAAATAAATTAAGTTTCTGTTTATTATTGCAAGTGTTGGTGAGAATCTTCAGTACCACGAAGATTATGAGCAACAGCAACTGGACAGATCTTCTGACGAAGCTGGTAAAATGTAATTAAATATTTTATTATCCAGCTATTACAACTTTGCGAATGTTTGGTCAAATTAATCGAAAAAATGCAATTATTGAATTGTATGAAAAGATGGAGTAGATAAGAAACCACTTGCCTAATTCATTTTGTAGAACGGAGGATATTCCTGAGGGCATTGAAGGTGATGAAACTCAGCAAAGTGAAAATGCTTTCTCGGAAGACATTGAAAGGTAATGAATTGATTGGTATCTCCTTGTAAACCATATTTGCTAATATCATTACTATCAGAAACTTAAAAATATGATGAGCAGATGGGGAGCAGTTTCACAGTTGTATATTCCTGGTTGTCCTGGTTTTTAATGTTTTTTACAACCTGATCAACAAATTGGGCAGTGACAATAGATGAATCAACTTGTTTATTATTTTTTTCTGTAGGTACGCTTATCGGCATCTGGATAACAGTAATGAAATACATCAAGTTGAAAGTTTTTCCGATGGACAAGCTAATAAGTAAGTGAAATATTGATTTCGATCAAAATTTAAAAATGATATATAATGGTATGCCTAGTAACATTTCTGCTGTGCGAGTGTTTACGTATTGATTTTTGCTGTGTTGTCTAATACTGATCGCTTCTTAACTTAATTATTGATTTTTAAAAATTTACGAAAACTGAAATATTCTGTTTTTCTTATGACTCATCTTATTTGCTTCAAGTTTCTTACTATTTTTATCCATCTAGCTTTAACTTGAACTGTTTATAGCTAAAGCACCTCACTTCAAATCGCTTTCTAAGTAGATGACATTTCTTTTTTTGATAATATATTTAATCCAATTACCGATGCTGTGATACTAGTGTTCAAATTCTATTTGAAAAATATTACGAAACACGATCTTTATACGTAAAAATATTTGTCTCATTTTAGTGATGAAAATTATCAAGATATTGAGAATATCACGTCGCCTCTCTCTTTTCCTTCCTCTAAACCCTCTTCGCAAGTATCAGATAAAGAGATAGAAATGGAAGATAATCCTGTAAGAGTTCGATTCACTTTCCTGGACACAATAATCCCTGATATTCTGGCGATCGAACGACACTTTCGACAGTTTGGCGATATTATCTCAGTATATCTACACAATTTATTGGCCGAAGGAAATGTTGTGTTTCGTTGGCGCCATGATGCGATAAAAGCGATTGCTAATTCTTTACGTGTGATTGATAACTGTAGATTTGACTTCTTTTCGAAGATTTCAGACGAGGAGTAAGTTTACTTGATTTCATTTCTAAACTATTATTAAGTAGTTTAATTAAAAATAGTCTCTTTAATTCATTGATTTATTTTACCTCTGGCCGCACTTAATTGTTTACTTTTAAGCTGGGTTATGGGTTAAGTTCTGTGATCTGTTCAAAACCCCATTTTCATGATTTTGTCCCTAATTCTCAGTCTCTTTCAATCAAGAGGAAATCATGTAATTATTATATCTATATACACATGTAAATAAGCAAACTATAATTCCTCAGATAAGTATCTGCCAAGACATACCATCGTTATATTTACTTAATCAATGAATATATGTTCATTCTTATTTTACCTGAGCATTACCAAGAGCAGATATAAATAGTATCTTGTGTTCAAGAGTATATCAATAATGCCCAATCGGATTGGATGCACCTTTTGGGATGATTAAGGCAAGCAGTCCAAAAATCTACTGTCAATTACTTTTATTTCCAGTAAATTCTTCTAAGCTACCCAATGTTTCATCCCTGCCTCTTCTACCATCCTCCATCAAGCTTGTCCTCCGTTCAAGTGTTGCTAGAGCCCAAGTGGGGTGGCAATTATAATTAAGCAATAATGTACTGGTCACCACTAACGATTAACGGATTAATTTCACGCACTTAAAGCCTTATTGGTTGGAAATGGTCAGCTGGTGTTTTAATTTTGCATTGGTCAAATATCATGCAGTTTGTATATTTTCTATTATAATGACAAAGAGCATCCCAAAAATGAATTGTAGGTCCGCTTTTGATTTACACCGTTATCAAGATACCCCACACGCTTTGTGCCCTTAAGATCTCATACGCTTCATTTCATAGGGCATTTATTTTACATGTTTCTAAGACTGAGGGTGTGGAGATTAAAGGCAACTTCACAATCCATAAAAGTATCACCATCCCCAATGAAAGCTAATGAAGTGCGAATAACTATCTATATTTATGGTAATATAGTGTGAGGAATGAAATCAGATTTCTTTCCTAGCTTAGAATCAACCATTGATGTAGGTTATTGCAATCCTCATCTAACATTTGCATTATTGTGAAAATGAAAATCACTGTACACATTCCAGTTTACATGTTCCTAGGTAACAAACACTCTTCCTAAGGCTAAGAGAATATACCACCTTGTACTGAATGAGTGGGTTGTATTGCACAGAATTTAATAGACAGTTGCAAAGGTGTAGAATTAGGAATCGTGTGCGGAGGGAGGGGGCATGAGTGCTGATGTGAGCAATCTGAATTGATAGGAACAGGTGACTTGGTGAACGAATAGAGGTTGACTGATTTTGTATTCTTCATTCACTGTGGAATACTTTGTAGAGGCATAAGTACTTGCATTAATTATTTCTCTGGTTTTGATTTTAATAACCAAAAAGATAGCATTTTAAATTAGTATGTTGTTTAATCTGTTGCAGAATGCGAATCTGCAGGGAGTTCGAAGGTCGGAGCCATCAACCAGGAGAAATTATTGAATTAAGGAAGAATGAGATTAATCACATTTCAAGAAGAAAAAATAAGAATCCATTTGGCGCATTTTTTGTCAAATATTTCAATCAAGATGCAGAATATTTTTATTACTTCCGTGGAGTTAGCGCTTCTGACCATCACTTTGTTAGAATTGGAGATATTTTAAAGTAAGACTTTGCTTAGAAGTTAAGGATATCTTTTTCATAGCCATTTTATAGTTTATAGTTACATGGTCTGGTCCAATATAGCACAGCAAATTTCAACAGCAGAGTAAGAAAGAAGGTGTAGATGTGGCTTATCGAGGAGAGTAATCAAGAAAATGACCAACCACAGCGATTGACCTTACGAAGATAAATTTCAAGGTCGAGAAGTAACCGCTGTTATAATTATATTCTGAAGACCTTATTAAGAGCATCTAAAGTAAAGGAGACTTATTTTACTTCAACCATATGTAAACTCAAACAGATTATTCTGAAACTTCTGTAAACTGTTGCAGACAAATTTTAACTGATTCAAAAGATTGAATCTGAATATCATTATTTTCTAAAACTCGGATCTAAATGAAAATTAATGATATATTGGGGTCTCCATGCCACGTAATCGAGTCTCCTTTAGAGATGTTTGAACAGAATTCAACTTGCTTTGAATCTCCATGTGTGGAAATTGCATTTCCCTATTCTTCTCATTGGTTATACTTTGTCCCATATTCACTGCTTTATGCGAATTCAAAAGCATTTTGGAATTACTACCACGTATTTAGTTTCTACATATTCCATAGCAATCAACTAAATCACCCACTGAATCGAACGCTATTTTGTTACAGTAGGAAATTTTCACTTTGCCGTTCTAAATCTGTAGTTATCTATACCACTAATAACAGAAAACAGATATTTACCGAATAAAACTTGAATGTATTACTTTAGCTTATTCGGTAGTTATCGTCACTTAACTATGAATTTTAGATATATTAGAGCCTAAAGCGATTGAGATGGAATTGCAGTACAAGTTACACGCTATTAAAAAGAGCTTCTTTTTAAGGGTGAAATAGCGCCATTGTCAGTGTTTATCAACAAGTTTATTGTGAATGACAAAAGCTTTTGTAATAAGAATAACTGTGGCTTTTGATTAAACATTTTGCTTCATCTATTTTAGGATAGTTAAAAGCTATGCAGTGGGATTTCAATTTCCGGGTAAAATTGTCTTCAATATTGAAGCCATAGCCAAGAACTTCGAAAGATTCGGACAACTTCAGAGAATTGTTCAGAATCCATGGACTGGGAAAGGATTTGCTGTTTTTTCTCAGATACAGAGCTCTCTATTGGCTCATCTTGAGCCTTATCATGCTGCTGAAGATAGTCAAATGGGAATTTTTCAACTTCGAGATGGTGACATCGAAAATGACATGTAAGTGCTTGTTTTAATACTTAATTTTGCACGCATTCTTCGGGTTTAGTAAGCTGCCTTTAATCTGCAAATAAGAACATCGTAAATGAATTATTGCGCACCGAGGGTTTTCTACTTCAAAGAAGTTAGCTTTTATGAGGTGGTTACCAACCTTACGATTGACCAACAATTTAATTCGCAAACCTACCTTATCAAATTCTCACTTTCTTTCATTGGGTCAAATTCATTAAATTTTTCATCTTTTTTAATTTGCAACTACATTTTCTCGGCTAAAAGGCCTCAAAAAATATCTTCTGCTCTGTTTATTATAATCTGATAACAACATCTGTTCCTTTCTCAGTTGCATATTTATGTCTGTGAGAAGACTTGAGTTATAGGCCTCTAGCAATGATTGCACTAAATGATGAAATTATTTCATTGCATTTGACTGAATTTCGCACGCATGTGTGATAACGCCCCCACTTTTTCATTCCGACTAATGCAGTATATGTTATTTAGCCCATTTGTTTCACAAGAGTAATCTAATTCGTGTTTCAATGTTAGTCACAATTTTCGCCATGGACTCTAACGTCTCTAATGAGATCAGTTGCTTATGAGGCTACTCAATTAGATGATTTTAAGTACCGTCACCTTTCACTTAATTAATTAGACAAGTTGGTTCATTTTAGCCTTAAATTAACAGTGCCATAAATCGAAAAAGCATGCTAAAATTCTGCAGATAATTGCATCCAAGGTAGAATAGAAAGTCAGTTAAAATAGTTAGGCTTATTAGGATAACCGTCACCAAGTCACTAGAGTATAATTACTTCTACAAAAGGATTACTTGTAAGAACATGATCGCAATAGTTCATTTATTTATTTCAAATGGCAGGCGTTTTGATAGATATCATTAGCCATTTAGCTGACTTCGGTCTTCACATAGGGAAGGTCCATCAAAGTAGCAGAAAGTCGAGGGGTGGGGAACAGAAGAGCGTTTCACAGATGTAAAAGAGGCAGGCAGACAAATGTAGAGAAAAAGGTAAGGTGAGTACTATGAAAGGGGTTGAATATGACAACCAGGGGGGTCGTGGTAGTTGGAAGTCAGAATTCAAATGCGGTATGAATATACGTTGCCCAGGGTGCACCAAGTGGAGGTAAGTCTATCGCACACCCCTGATCGCAATAGTTGGATAAGCAAATAGGCAAGATAGGATCTAGAACCATACTCCATGAAACAAGATGAATGGTTTGTAAATGATTGCGACACTTCAAGCTGATGGTATATTTTTAAGCTTCTAAGAACAGCTTAAAGGGAGAGGGAGTTCGTGGATGATTGTCAGTAAGATCATTTTCACGGCCATTCCCACTTTACTAGAAGAACTGAGCTTGTTGGCAAATCTATTCATTTAAATCGAGATCATCATAAGTTTAGAAATTGCTAATCTTCGAATGATTTCCACTTTCATTTGTTAAACGCGTGTTCTCAGCAACACTGTATGTCTTCACACATTTTCTCTTCCATTTTCTCCAATTTTCTGTCCATATACATAATTCTACTGCAAAATGTTCGTTTTCACATGCATATCCTCATTATTTATCTATTTTTAATTTCGTGTTTATGCCATAAAATTAGTATTTTAAAACGTGTCTTAGTGTTCTAGAGACACTCTTGGGAGAGCCAAATTATATCTACTTTCAAAAATTATTTTATCCCTTTCGATTATTTATCAACATCACTGAATGGGACTGAGTGGGGTCGATTTTGTAACCTCTAATATAATTGACGCAAACCACTTTCATATTTCACCTTGAACCTAAGAGTATTAGGAGCCATTAAACTTTATATTGATGCGTCTTATTTAAATATACTTTTTACTTCATTTTCTTGCAAGATTCTCAGTCGATCTCTCCACTGACAGTGAACTCGGTCAATTAATGAGGAGGTATAAAATGTACAGAGTTGATTTCCGAGTTTCCGGCTCCGTTCCTGAATTTACGGCTATTTGCGAATGGCTCTGTCGAAGAAGCACACCTTACCAGTTGGAAATTGCGTACGATTTAATGAAAGGAAGTGTGAAATTTTGGAACTTTGCATCTGCAGAAGCATTCAAATCAAAGACGTTTGAAATCGGCGACGCAATCTTTCAGTGTGGAGGTGGAATTTACACAGAAACGGGACACGTGTAAGTACTTCACCTTGTATTTGCACTGTAAAATGCTATTACATGTTCAAAATGTGAAATCAGATAAATGAAAGAAGTTTGTCGTAAACACTTTCCTGATACTTCAAAGGATTTATTTCGTGTATTAAGATCGTCGGAACTCTCATCAATGATATTAATTATTTAGCGAAAGGCTTCAGAAAAAACGCCTGTTGCGTATGCTATGATCTTGAATATCTATCGTATCCGCATGAGCGTGCTGATGTGCTTCTTATTAAATATAAGCCAATTTGGTGAGTGATATTTGCTGCAAAAGTTGGCAGATAAGATGTTGACCTTTGAAAACGTTTCATCTTTCCTCATGGAATCCTGAGGAGGATTCTGCATGCATTATCTTATTACTCTTTCCAGGTAATTATTAGCTTTCAGCATTAAAATTCTGGAGGGTGGGGTGAGTGATATTGAAACCGATAACTTCTCGGACAGCATTGATAAAACTTGGTACTTTTTTATGGAACATTAATTCCCAGTTTCTCGAAGAAAAGAATTACAAGGTAATAGGTAACTTTAACAAAAAATTTACATGTTTTTTGCATTCTTTTAGGGCGGTGCACATTGTAGAGTCAATCAAGATAAATGCAATTCTTGGAGGATTAGTAACAAAATTGCTAAAGAAAGCATTGGAGTAAGTCTCTAATTTCTCCGATAGTATTATTCACTTAGTAAAACTTTTCCGATATGTGAATATTTATTCAATTTAACAGTTTGATTTAGTTGTATTAATAGCATCTATTTACAAAATGTTTTAGCTGGAATGGCTAAAACCTCCCCCCTGAGCTTATCCACCTTTTCCAATTTAGTCAAATTAGGAAGTGAGAAAAGAGGTTGATACAATTAGGATACTATGCTTTTGGGGTTTATTTACCACGTAATATTAGTAGATGGTGGGCATTGAGTTCATCTTTTACAATGGGGAATAATTTATTAAATCGATAATTTACTGCCACCAATTCATTACAGACATTCGTAGATAAGAGTAATTTTGTTGAGATGATAAATAATCAAATGTTTGGAGTTATTTAAGTGCCAAATAGCAGGAGATAAATGATATATATTATTAATAAGAATATATGTCTAAACCAATAACTTTTCTATTGAGACTCGTTTCCTAGGCAATAGCTTAAATAGATTAAATGAAATAGCCTATTTCGGTTACTGTTTTAGTGAAGATGCTTCAAAAGATGACAATGCCGTTTCCTTGACGAACTCGGTTGCCATTGCAAAGCCGATTGAGTCTTTAGGACCTCCTTCTATTAAAACAAGACCCTCCGGTTATAGGTAATTATATTTCATCACTTTTATCTTTTGGCGCAAATTGATAAAAATGTTGAGTAATCAAATGAAAGAACTCATTCTAATTGACTTTGATAAACTCTGTATTAATTGAAATTTTGAGCTTTAGTTATTGTTGGCATAAAACTACTGCTCCCCTATTTCATTTTGCAGATACAGATTGGTACGCATTACCCCTATTTTTAACCCGGAACCCGAAATGATGTTAACAGTAAAGTTGAATTTAACGGACGATATGTAAGTCCTTCAATGACCTCTACCTTGGTACTTTATTTTTTATATGTTGAGTTTTTTTGGAAAATTTTCATGGACACCTGTCTTGGACAATACAAATTTGAAATAGTTACTTTTCCTTAATTTCCTCGTATTACCTGCCCAGTTTTGAAACTTATTCAGCAAATTTTTAAATTCAGATAATCTTTTTTTCATCCCTTTGATCTAATTGCTCACTGGATGTGTCAGACACTAGAGGACGGAAGTGAAGTCAGTTTCAATTTACTTTAAAAAAATACAATTCAGCCATCATATGATTGACCTTTGAAGGTCAAACTGACAGAATCAGCTTGTGCAAGCATATTGATGCAAATAATGACGATGTGGAGAATGTGGTATCTGAACCACATGATAAACTCCCTTAAGATGGGACGTCTTGTGAGTAGGTTGGATCCTTCGACCCTTAACCATGTCTAGTTATGATGGGGTCTCATGGGTTCTATGAACAGTGCTCTACATAGACCAATCAAGAGGGAAACTCAAAGTTGAGCTCACCTCCCTCCCTCCCTATTTAGTCTCTGCAATATTTAAAAATAAACATATTTTTTTCCAAATATTATCCGTAATAGTAGCAACAGTTGTTCGTTTTCGAACATGTAGACTAAATAAGAACTAAAGATTGTCATATGCAGGCTCCTAGAATATAAATCTGATATTCATTTTTGCATTAATCAAATTGAGTGATTATATTCACGCCCTATCCAAATTTTAGCATTCATAAACTAGAGTCTCCTTACCGATTAGCATAGCTAAGGCTGGTAAGTTATCACCACTCTCACATAACAAAGCTTTCAGAAGATAAAATTATCCGACTTTGGTTAAGAAACGGGAAGGTATGACGTTCGGAAATCAGGTGTCTACATACACTTAATATTTGGAAAAAAAATAGCATGGGCATTTGCGTCTTAGGCCTCATAATTAATAATCAAATTACCAACGCACTTTACTTAAATAATTACCTGTGTTAACACATTTTCTGCTAATTTTTCTCTATTCAAAGTGCAAATATTAGCTATTTGTAGGCGATTCTAGCAGAGTGGACCAAGCTTATTTTATTGGTCCAGTTGTTTGAAATTATTCTAATTTAACGAATACCTGCCCAACCGTCAATATACTCCCCATTTATTCTTGTTGTAACTGAATCGCTTGAGAGGAATAATTTCTAACTATTCCAAAATTTCAAAAAACATGACGACCTTTTAAAACCAACTTCATCATCAATGGGTGTCTAGTAGATGAGACAAATGCTCACTCATTTAGCACTCATTCGGCTAAGTAGACGGATTTCAAATACAAATACGAGAAGCAGATATTAATTTTCTTACCTGCCTTATATAACTTAAATGGTTTGAAATCTATGATGAGAATTCACCTTCCTTTAATTTGCCTTTGCGGTATAGTGCCGAAGACGCCGGACCAGAGGAAACAAAATCTTCGCCTTCTCCTACCAGTAGTGATTTTTCCCCATCTAAAGATGATACCATATCAAGGTAAATAACATTAAAAAATAAGCTTGATATCTGTCCCTTTATTAAAGAATATTCTTCATTCATGCCTCCTAAACCACATTCTAAGTGGTCGAAAGATAGCTTATTATTCCTTCATCATGTCGGTGTTTCCAATCTTGATGAACTGTAATCTCTTAGAATAGCGCTTCAAACTAATAACGCGAGTTATCCATTATGTCCAACCTCTAGTCGAAAACTAAAAGTTAGTCATCTTATTGAGGTAACTAGGTGAGTCATTTCAGAAGAGGAGATGAAATGGTCTATTTATAAATTGTAAAAAATAGGATTTGCACTGAATTGGAAATTTTTCATATTACATGTCCAAATTGTGCCTGTGTAAATGAAACATGATTATTTAGATATGTGAGTTCTAAATTCATTTCTTTTTCGTTACTTCATCTCATCTCTCATAAGAAAGTTAAGTGTTTTTAGGGCACCATTCCAAGTCATTGTTCAATTGACAACAACATCTCTTCCATTTCTCTTCTTATCTTCCAAATTTGGTCATGGATAGTCTTTTTTTACAAAGAGTAGATTTATCTATTTCATTGCTTCTCTCACCAAAAACTAGTCTGCTGTATTTCATCTTTTCAGTGCGATGAAGTTTTTAAATTCACTACCTCGTAAATCAAGTGTGGAAATTGATGATTCTTCTACATCAAATGCACTCAGAAGTTCCTTATCGAATGGGTGTGGTGGTTCAAAAGATGTGTCACAACAAAATTCAGATTCAGAGACAAGTCAGCCAATCTTGGAAAGTTCTGTGTAAGCTTAAAACTTAACTTAAATCATTGTAGAATACTTTCAAGACGTCTAGGTTGAAGGGTGTGCGAATATTAACTTGTAAGCGAGAAAAATAAGATAAATGTACAAAAAAGTTCACGAGTTAGTGAATTAAGGATAACTCTAGCATAACAGAAGTCATAAAAGAAGTAATATTTTAGTATTTTCGACGATGATTTAACAAAAGTATTAAACCACATAAAGAGTGGATTACTAGTAATTTAATTAGTTTAATTACTTTTGGAAATGAAACAGAGTTTGTCAACTGATTGTCAAACCATTCGTAGTACGACTAAGGAGCTTTTAGTTCTAAATTCCTGATCTTCAAAAAAGAAGTTATTGAATTAACTTAATTCATTTTATTTGATATGGTTTAATAAAGGTTTACTATCTCAGAAGATAATTAATGTATGAAGGTATTCATATATCATGGTGAGAGAGATAGGTACTGGCTTATTGGAAGGCCCAATTGAATCCAAATCTAAGGGCCATCCCTTTCCTACTTATTAGACTGTCTAGAAGCGTGTTCATCCATGCAATGGCAAGACGGAGCCTCTGGTTACTTGTTATATTTCCTTTAAAAGTTAAGGAAACATTAATAAAAATAGGGTAAAGCAACTTCAACCACTTTCAGCCCATGTCCAAGACCTAAAGGACAACGCCGTGTAACATTCTCGGATGAAATTTCATACCGTTCAATGACTTCTTCCAGTTCGAATTCTTCTGAAGTAGAGTAAGTGAGAATTATTCTTTCTACCTGCTTTCGAACTTTACATAACATGATATTCATAGAGATAAGACTTTTCCCATTCTCTATATGTGAGGAATTAATGAAAATTGAGTTGAGTAGAAAGATGTCACTCTGCGACCCACTTGTTTGCCGGGAATCTCAAATGAAGTTGGCGATTCCCATCGGACATCGATTCCGAGATCGTTGTCTCAATAGGCGCCCACTTTAAGCATTGGATTTTTATGGAAAACAAAGTGATTAGCTATTTTTCCCATAAGATCGATTTTGATTAAGGAACGAGCTATAAAGAGAGAAGAGCGCTGAAAAAATGCAAATTAAATTTATTAAATCAAATAAATTTATATGTGAGGCATTTAAATTATACTACTAGACATATGTATATTAGTTCCAAAGATGCTATTGTTATGCAATCCCTACAGCTACACCTTTTAATTAACTTATCCCTTACTGTAACTAGACCTAATAGTTCTGAGTGTGAAAAGTTGAGCCAGGCAGCCGTAAAACAGCCGGGAACTGACCTCGAAGATACTGAAAGCGATCAGCAGGATGTTTCATGCGATTTAACGAGTATTTCACCGTCAAAAGAACTTCAAAAACCAGCTTCTCCGTCGGAAGGGTAATTCTGTTTTTTTATTTTTTGATTACTTTGTGCTGTTTGAGTCAAATGAATTAAAAGCTCAATTAATTATCATAAAGGAAATTTCAAAGTAGGCTTCTTAAGGTTAGAGTTGAAATCGAGCAGTAGCTTATAGCCGACCGTCAGTTTGTATTACTTGGTCGAATAAACAACGGATCTAAAATCGGGCCATTTTCAAATCACGTCTTCATTTACACTACTCTACCCTAATCCAGATGCTGTGGGTTGTATGGTGCCTACCTCTGCTGCAGTTCATTTCTCATTCTTTGTGTTTTAGAAAGATTTTGCAGCACAATAATCATATTGAATACTTTATTTTAAAATATTTACTTTAAGTATAACTCAAATAGATGATAAAATTGTTTTAATTGGGTAGATATCTCAAAGACTATCCAAGGAGAAAATTCCACTCTACTTTATCCCTTTCGAAAATGATTTATTTTTAAATTTGACCACAGGTAAATTGATCTTTAGGCCACCAGCGTATCCTCGGAATTGAGTGTTATTAAAGAACCTCTTGTGCCATATCCCTCGCCTCTTAATGCCACATTCTTTCGCAGTATGCCTTTTTAATAAGTGTTTGGCACTTTCTTGTTACATTTCCTTAATTTTATGGGGCCTTTTTCTAGAAATTAAAAAATAAATGTAGGGACTGAAAGATAATTTATTTGCTTACGAAGATGGAATCTGTTGCGTTTTGAAAACCTCCAATGGATTCTTCTTTAAAGATGTCTCCAAAATTTTCAGCTTATTAAAATAACGCATTAAAGAATTCTAAATACTCTGAGTTAGTATATGGAAGTGAAGTATATAGAACAGATATCAAAGCCTTCATAAATAATCGAATTGGAATTACTGGGTATGATAATAGGTGAATGAATTTCTCAATCTCTTTTTATTAAGATGAAGCGAACAGATTGTTCCACCTATCACCGAATTAATCAATAAAATTCCAAGGAGTCATCAAGTGAAGATAAAAGATATTTTATAGGAAATCCAGATTCTTTCGCCAATCAGATAGACTGGAATTCACCAATACTGATTGTCATTCGTATTGCTTAATGTGCATCACTGAGCATTTACCTAGTTAAATCCACCCAAAAATGCTTATTTAATGTTGCCAATAAGATAGGATGGTCCAGAGGTGCAAACATGTGGTCGCCAAAATCAATATTTTAAGGCATATTTCAATATTTCTTCTATTATCTGTTCACTTTCATCCCCATGTAGACCTGTGAGTGCTGGGACTAGTCGAATGATCGCGAATTGCCCATGTATTCGTCTTCAGCGGTTGAACCAACAGTGCACAAGTGAAAATCCACCTCCGTTTCCATCCGAAGATAGATTAAAGGCATTTTTCCAGAAGTTTGGAATTGTTGAAAGAGTTTTTATGAAGCCCTCGGATCCAAATAGTTTCGTCTTATTTTCGAATAAAACAGAGGCTCAAAATGCTCTGTCTGTACCAACCCATTCAGTGAATGGCTGGCAATTCAACGTCTTTCCTGCCTCACGAATTCCAGACATTATTCAGTAAGATAGCATTTGTATATTTCTTTTAACAAAATAGGCGAAATAGGCTTGAGAATTAGCCATTTTTATTGGACCTTTCATTATATCATTAGATATTAGAAAGTACAGTTAGTGAACTTTTCGTTCAAAAAATCAATCAACGTGAGTGCACGTATCCTTCAGAATACGTTTAGATTAAGGCGTAAAGACATGCTGTAATTGAGTATGATCGCCAATGATCCAATGGATGCTTAAAAAAGTTATGTGATCGGCCGAATATAGGATTGCGCTTTGTATGTGGGTTCAAGTATGCGAAACGCATACTGCTTATTTTCTAAATGTACAACTTTAAAATTACCCTGTTATGCATACAAATTTCAAAAGTCCTGCTCAAGGTTCAGGACTGAATTTAAAATTCGAATGTTGCCATTTTCGTATTTTCAGAGTCAAAATTACAAAAGAATAGTTATTTAATTTCATCTACTTCGAGTTTTAATAAAGATCTCTCTATCAAACTATCGTATTAAAATCATCAGAAGCCGATCATGTTTACTCAGTATATCTGACGGTTCGTAAAACTGTCAAGTATTTGTCGTAATTCGCATTAAGTCTGTGCTAGTGTATTATCTACTTAATCCTCTTGGTATTAGATGGTTGTTAATGCCTATTTCTAGTATCACTATGTATTGACTATCGATATTTTCTTCCTTGAATTTTGTTAATCTAGCAATGAAGCCGGGGAAGAAATTGCATGGACCAATGAATGGAAATGCATTTTTCTACGAATGACAAACTTAAACGAGGTCGTTGAATTCCCAACGGAGGTTGAAATAAGGACCTACTTCGAGCAGTATGGTACCGTTACAGATATTCTTGTTCAAGCAGTGGCTGGTGAAATTTATGTTATGTTTTCAAGAGGATCGGAAGCTAAATCGGCCTTATCTTCTAAAACTCACTGCTTGAAGGGCTGCAATTTTAGGAGCCATCCAACTCGTAAATTCCCATGTGAAATCAAGTAAGATAAATATATTCTTGTTTTCAATTTTAATGTTATTAAAATAATCGAAAGTCAATTTCGTTTTTAATTTTGGATGTAACTGTTTAAATTGGAGCACCGCTAGTTTGAGTTTGAAATCAAAGTGTGTTCTAAGAAACCACGAATTTTAATGATACTTCTGCCTGTATCAAATTCACTCACTCATGTTTGTAAAATGTATATATTGGCCAGATTTACAGGAAATCATCAATGTTGATAGCCATCCACTTCGTAGAAAGTGCATCACTGTGCCTAGACTAAAGTAGTCTATCAGATATTCCAAAAGTCAATGCATTTCTAATCACTCACAAAATAATTGATAGTTTTTATCAAAAACTATCATATTTCTTAATAATTGGATTCCGCGTGATAATCTAGTTCAAGATAATGTGACTTGAGACTTCGATAGGAGCAGCGACTAGTGAATTATAAAATTTTAGTGCACACTTCCTACTGATTTTCCTGAGTGTGACAGACCTACAAGCTCTAGAGATATGGCACTTTCAAACATCATATTTTTTGCAAGAGAACACGTTTTTTGAATTGGAGGAGACGAGATCTGAATGGGTCTTGATTAGTCAACACGAATTTAGTAATGTGAGTTAGTATGAAGATGTATGATGACCATGAATGGTAGAAGATGTGAAAAATGACTAAGAAATACCAAGATTTCGTAAAGAGTGTAATGGAACAGCCATCTTACCGAAACGTCTACAATATTCCAAATCGGACGAATTGCAAGCCGTTGAGCCCCTCTATTGTTTTTTGCTATGCACCAATGTTACCACTGTTGTATGCACTTCCACCATTTGACCGAATTTCACGGTGTGTTCTTTAGCTAGAGAATACGATTCTTTTTCGTTTTGGTAAGTGAAGTTCAAGCCTTTGCCTGATAGATGACAATTTTTTCCAGACTAGCTGTGGAGATGAGCAAAAGAGTTTGCTTAATTTGGATGATAATGGTAGCAAATTGAATGTAAATTGTTCCCTTCAAGTCAAAGCATTCACTCTCTCCAATCTTATTTCATGGCTGATGATATTCTCTAGGCTCTAAATAGTAATTGCCGGGTGTCTGAGGAATTGGATAGAGGTTAATCGAAGCCCAAATATCAATTCGTTAGGAAAACAGGCGGCTTTATTTGTTTTTTACATCGAGTAATGTGCATTCATGGTTCAACGGAGCTCACATGCTACCCTGGCGTCTGTGCACAATCGTGAGAAGTTATAACCATCAATAAAATTTAGTGACTTCCGATAGTTCTATAAAATCATTTGTTTTATTTCCATTTTTGCCCTGATGAGGCCACTAACTACCATGGAATTTTCGTAACTCATATGTGAAAATATTTCTACTGATGCTTGGTCATGTTTTAGAGAACCTTCAACTGCAGTGTCAGAGACTGAGTCTTCACTGAAGCCATCGCAGTCATCGTTATCCCAATCACCCTCAATTCAATCTCCGCAACAATCGCAAAACGGGGCCACAGTAACTCAAACGACTTCAGATTCATCTTTTTCAAGGTAAACTTTGCATTGACCAAATATCAGTCACTAATGTGCCATGGAATGAAATAAAGCTCTCAACGATTTTGCTAGAAAGTGTGAATGTCTCTATTAGGTCAAATAGTGGAAAATGGTTAGTGAGATGTGATGCATAACTTTGAGAGTTTTAGGTAATTGGATGTATGCCTTAGTCAGGCATTAATTGGGTAGAATGCTCAGTGTAAGAGCAGACGAGTGATGGCTCAATTTTAGAGAAGTTGAGTCGTTGGGATGTATTCTAATTTACCCCTCCTCTTCCTCTGTACCCGCGTCCGCATTTTTATCGGTTGGAGTGATTCGTAATAACTATCAGTAATTTTGTAAAGTTATTCAATCTGACCATTGCAAAAAGACACTGAGAGCTTATGTGGCATCCGTGAATCTGTTAGAAAGGGTGGAAGTTGTCAATGAGCACGAACAACACTTGAAGAATAAAATATTTCATGTGATTACGTCCCTCAGAAATGAAATCAGATCAGAGCATGCCATGGAAATATGAAATTATGAAATGACTTTGAAACACGATTATAATTCACCACACCTTAACAGAGGATGCTTCAATCAACTCACCCCTCTTTTTGACGGAACAGCTGATTTGTTTGTTTGTGCACTTATCTCCCTACGGCTAATTAGGCGAATGTTAATTTCGCCGCTCCGACCTCTATACACCCTTCGATCAACTCAAGTTATCTATGATCACTTTCAACAATTTGCCAAGAGTATTCATGTCACCCGCTCTGCAAAACCACCCAAGGTGTAGGTCACGCTTGAAGGATCTCCTTGTTTGTCAGAAGTTAATTCCTGGAAATTTCAAAGCACCGAAATCCTTCAGGTTCTTAATCTAGGAAAAGTTCATTCAATATCTCTGTAAACGCCTAAGTAGTATTTGAACTGTGGCAAAGCATTACGATATGATTAAACTTGCCACATGAGATCTTTGGGCCAACCTGATTAATTTGCTGTGAATTACAACAACCTTCCACCTTCAATTAATTAATTTAAAGAATTTGTGTATGTAGTGGTAAGTTAATACACACTCAAGTGTGCATTGGCTCATAGGCACATTATTTAATGTGGTCCAGAGCAAGTAAAGATATCTGTTTCCTAAGGCGACGGCCTTTCCAAAAGAATAACTGCCGCCAAATTGAAAAAGTGTGCTTCGCTGATGATAACTTATTTTTGAATCATTTTACTTCTCATTTATAACTTTTCCCATAGGGAAGCAAAGGGCATAACTATGAAAGCTGGTGACTTGGAAGAATTCGATCCCGAAAAATGCATTAAAGTCTTCATTCCCAGATGCACAACTTTAAGCATGCCAAAACTGGCTAAAAGTCTTGCCAGATTTGGCAGGGTCAAATTCGCAAAACAGCCGCTCGAATCACCAATACTGTTTGTGGCTCATATTGAACCAGAAGAGCAGATGAATGACGATGAGGCAAAAGATGAACGATATTGGCTTTCGAACTTTGAGTAAGTTGAATTCCCTTTTAGTTTACCATTCAGTCATTTTTTTATAGTTAACAAATGAAAGGCAGGCGAAAATTAATTTTAAACCGAGTTCCATTGATAATATGTCATCTTGTAAATCAATTTATTGGACTTCGGTGGTCTGCAGTTTTATAATTTTTCATGGAACATTCCTTCTTTCAAAAATTTCCGAATTTGATTCCAAGGTTCCTAGGGCAGTTATTGTAACTAGATATTCCAAAAATGATCAACCATTTCATCCAGCTACCTTCATTTTCGATAGAAAGTAGACAAAGCAAACAAATTATTCCCAACTTATAGAATGCTTTTATTCGTACTCTTAGATTTCATTCAAATTTGTTCAAAAATTTACTTCAGCTCAGTTTGTTGATTAGTTAGGTCCGGAAGATGTATTCTTGTGGCCTTGGAATTCAGCTGCTTGATGAACGGAGCCTAAACTAACATTATTGTCATTTTAAGCTCCCTTCTACAGCACACAGAAGACTGCCTTAACTTAGAGATGGCATATATGCATGTACAAATTGATACACGAAACCTTCATGACGAAAGTGACTGGAGTCCACTGCAATTGAATATAAATCGGGCGCTTCGTCTTTGCTCTCTTTCCTTATTCAATGATCCTCCGCTTTTCATGAATGAGAATAATATCTTCTAATGTTTGAGTCATTCAATTCCCAATACCTTCACGGCAATGTTTTGCCTGTTTAGGAGGCAGAAATTGGGCTAATGTGACGTATTCTAGCTTTGACTTGGTCTCATGCAGGTATAAGAATTTGGACACAATCGTTTTAGGCTATTACTCATTCTCTTATCTTGATAAAACATGCGATGTCACCAGACATTTTCAATCACCTTATTTTACTTTCAAAGCCAAGTCATGGGATGAATTGCACTCAATAAACTGTGATCTGAACGCGAGAGACTCCACTTTCTTGCCACATTTTCCCGTTTTGCCTCTGCAGAGAGTTGCATCTGGAAATATCATAAGGGTGTGCATAAAAGTAACGCATAGTAAAATACCAAACTATTCACCAAAATAACGTCAGAGAAGAAAGGAGGGGACGAATTTCAAGAATCCCCTATGGGGTTGCTACCCACCAGTTTACACAAACACAATTTTCAATCTACGGAGGGTG